TCATTTGAGTGAAAACCACGGCTAGCCAAGTTTATGCCGTTTTGAATGATTTTTGTCAAACGACCAAAAGCGAAAGATGGTTTTCAAGGTGTTTTTGTTGTAGAACCGTTTAAACATGCCAAAGAGTGAAAACCAATCATAAAAAGTTGAAAACCACTTGGTTGGTTCAGACGCCAAAAACCATAGCCGATAACCGAGAGCCGAACGCCGGTTTCTGAAAACCCGAATGCTGGATGGCTTGATTTTTGGTTTGGGCGAACACCAAGTGTTTTTAATGACTTAAACATGTTTAAAAAACATTTTTATGATTTAAGAAATGCAATGAAGGATTTTAGCCTAAAGAGCCAAGGTGTAAAGATTGGGTCGGTCTTGATCACAATGAAGACCGACTCAACGACACTAAGACTAAGGTCTTCGTTCTTGGTCTTCTTTTAGCTCTTGTTCTTGTCTTCCTTCTTCGCCTTGTATATTCAAAGTTTGACTTGATCACGGCGGTTTGGCATTATCAAAACCTGTCATAAAGACAAGCACGGCTTTAGTACGAAAACGTGACATGCCCGTGTTTCAACAGAAAGTAATACGTCAGAGCATTGTTTTGTGACATTGTTTCAATATTGAATTTAAAGATATTATTTGGTCATTTTTTCGAACAAAACATAATTGCATGTGAAATCATTCTGCCTTTTATTTAAATGACTAACAAGATATTAATTCTCCAACCCAACACATAGTTCCATCTTTATAATAAACCACACAATGTAGACATTCATAATTGAACCGTACATAGCACAATAACATTCCCTGGACATTATGATTATCACAATCCGTCAAAACTTCTTTCTCACTCATAATGGCCATTCTATTCATTTATTAACCTAAATCATGAAACATGGTAGGCATAACTATTCATAGACTTGTCACGTTGATCAGAAAGTTAAATTTTAGAGCATTGTGTTGTAACATTGTTTCACTATTGAACTTTAACAATTTCATGGTCATTATTTTTCAAACAAAATGAATTTCATGTGAAGTCATTCCACTTTTGCATTTAAATGTCTAACATGACATTAGTTCCCCAATAGTGCTATCATTATAATAAACCATGTAAACATTAATAGACCTTGTACATATTGTAGACATTCACAATTGAATTGTAAATAATTGAATAACAGTCCGTAGAAATTATGATTGTCATAAACCCTCACCATTCCTCCAATCAATTTCATAAACCTTAATTCAATACACTACATATTGAATCCACTTTAAATATCTTTGAGCTTCAATTAAATAAAAACCGGAATGTATTTATACATAAAATAACTTTACCAAGGAAAATCTAACCCGGATCAGACATGCTCTGATACCATGTTAAAATTTTGGTGGGCCGAGAACAACGGACAAAGTATTGGCTAAAATTAACCACTTGCATATAAAGTTGGGATCCACTTTCTAACCCAAAACTTAAGTTGATAGGTAGAGCTCCACTCTCCTATATATGCTAGTATGAGTAGTATTTTATTACTCCCTCCGTCTGAAAATGTTCTTTCCATTTGACTTTTTATGGTCTCCAAGATTGTACTTTGACCACTAATATCTTTATTAGTGTATGAATATATTTTATAAAAATTTGATATTTGAAAACTATATTTCAAAATGAATATATTCATCTTAAAGTTATATCGTAATGCAATGTATTTTTTCTGCATAAAGTTTACAAACTTTGACCAAGAAAGGTCAAATGGGAAGAATATTTTCGGACGGAAGGAGTATTTTTTTTTACATATGAACTCCAACGCAATCAGTTGACACATTTTGTAGAAGGAAGATGGTATTTAAGAGAGATTTCTTTTGGTTAAAGTGTAGCGTTTGCCCTTCAAACCAGTATTGGACCGAGTTCTAAACAATCCTTGAGTTATACGGAGTTTTTGTTCTTTCCCCATTAATATATGTGAAGATTCTTCTCTTTTTACCTACAAGATTGGTCTAAAAGCACTTACTCTATAGGGAGTATTGCATTATAAAACAACTCTCACATATAAAAATAAAAAAAAATCACTTTTGTACTTCCTAAAATAAACATGACATTTTCCCCGTTTTCTTTTACGAGAGGAGTATGCCTCTTACTACATCTCCCTTTCATTCAAACAAATTATAACCACACTTTTTACTTTAATGGTACGTTTGGAAACATGGATTTGGACTTCAAATTCGGATTTGGCTCAAATTCCATGTTTGGGAAACTTAAAAATTTTGGATTTTGATTTGAGACAAATTCTTCTCATTCATAACAAAGCTTAATTTGAAATCCATGCATCTCCCCTTGTCATTTGAAATTCAAGATTTCAAATTTTGAAATTGAAATGAATGAATTGAAAAGAAATGCTAGTTGCCAAACATTACCTAAAATAATTTGTCCAATTCCAAGGGTGAAGCATTTTGTAGAAGAGAGATGGCATTTAAGAGGGATTTCATTTAATGTTGAAAAATGCAACTATTATTGTTTAATGGTGCTAATTTCTCTAGTACTCCATAGTATTGTGCGTTACTTACATTATTGATCAATGTTGTTATTGTTTTCTTTCGTACACCAGCTCCTCCCTATCATTCATACACTACCCCGTTAGCCAGTGGTGTCGGCCGGGCAACCACCAAGGGAGACATCCGGCAACAGAAGTCAAAGATGGGCGATGGTTGACAGAGGATGCCAATGATGGTACAAGGTAGTGAACAATGACCTAAAATTGTGAAAAAATAGTGCGAGTGTTTGTAAACAAACTACAAAGTGTTGAAACTAAGGGGCTGTTTGGCAACTTCTGAATCGGTAAGTGCTGAACCAGTAAGAGGTCTGAACCATTAAGTGCTGAACCAGTAAGAGGTCTGAACCATTAAGAGCTAGTATATTGTTTAACTATTCAGAGGCAAATATCTGATCAATTCAGATAAGAGGTCTTAACCATTCAGACTCTGTATAATACTTAATCATTCAGAGGCAAATCTCTTAACCATTCAGACATCTGAACCATTAAGAGGCTGAAACAAACAGTCTGAACCATTAAGTGTTGAACCATTCAGACATCTGAACCATTAAGAGGCTGAAACAAACAGCCCCTAAGAGTGTTGTCAGGCATGATTTGTGACTTTAAGGTGGGGTTTATGTTTGAGCATCTAAGGATGAATGCTACCATTGTGGATGTTCTTGCAGTCAATAGCGTCATTTGATACACAAAATAATTCAAACATCTCATTTAATATGAGAATGGAATACTAATTGAGACAAACGAAAAGGGTTGATTGATATGGGAAGGGAATACTGGAACATCATTTACAAAAATTGGATAATTTCTTTTGTGGTTCTTGGGTCCATGTTCACCTTAAGACTTCAAAAGGAAAACTCTTACAATTAAAATGCAAAAACTGAAAAAACAAAAACTCAAACAGAAAAAAAAAAGCCAAACTGAACTAAAAAGTTCATTGACTAATATGTATGAACCGAACCAAAAACCAAACTTGACCCTACTTATTTCTCAACCTCCATTCTATCTTTTGTTTTGCGTGAAATCCAAAATGGAATAACTACAGAACAAAACTGGTTTTAACTCTGTTTTGTGAGAAACTGAGCCGCCACCGGCAGCAGTAAGAAAAATCCAGTGGGAAATTCAGTCTTCCATTATCATCAAAAGGTAGGAGTTTTTGGGTGCCCAACTCAATTCAAAATCTAATCTTCCCAAAAGAAGGGGAAATTAAAAAGGGAAGGATGTCAGTAGACAACATAGCTAATAAGGCTATAGATTTGATATGGGATCTATACAATGCTTTCTTATATTGGAAATGTAAAAGAGAGGGCCATTTTACCTTGTACTCCTGCCCACCGTGAACAGAAAGCTGTAAAATCTTGTAGTTTGAATTGTTGTCCCACCCGTGAGTTCCACGGCTAGTAATTCTTCCTCAAACGAACCACCTTATTGGACGTTTGGACATATCCATGGAACTTTAGAAAAATGACTGAGTGCGAAAATTTATCCTTGGACTGAAGGGAAAAAAAATCGTGTAAAATTGGTATTCCATGATGCGTGATTCTCCATTCTCAAATCAGCACTCCGAAGATGTTTGCGCGTACAAGTCAAGAACTCTACCTTTCCTTTGTTAGTGTCTCAATCTTTTAATGTCTTGTTTTGTAGTAATAGACATTCCACATATACATTTCAGAACTAGGTCAAAACTAGTTTATAGCTTCGAAGAATAGGAGTTGTGGTTGCAAATGCCCTCTTTCACACATGGTCAGAACATCAACCCAGCTGCCAATGAGCTACAGAACAAGCATATATTATTATTGTTCTATATATGGACACACACACACACGCACAACAAAAGACAATTAAAATAAATTCTACCTTCACAGTCTGGTCATCGTACATGATCCACTGTTCATGACTATGACTGTATGCAAAACAGTGATAATGCTGCCCATAGTAGCACACCTAAAGAGAGATTTAAAAAAAGCCAATTAGATCCATATCCCTCTTTAAAGAAAGCCTGACTGGAGGCTATTTCTGAATGCACACAATTAATGCCGCGCTACAGTGTCATCTTACAACCAGCAAACAATAATGGAAAACCATTTTCCAGAATTAGAAGCGCAGTTAACTTGGGGCATCTCTAACGGGATTGCCTTAGATGGGTGCTTAAATGGAGAAAGTAAAAGAGGTGGTGAAGGGTTGGAGATAGATGATTAGTGGTTCAAATGAGTAGGAAAGAGAAAGTTGGGGTCAATTGGTATGCATCAGTGTAAAGGCAAGAAAGATTTTAAAAAGAGAGAAATTTAAAAGGGACAGAATATAGCATAAATAAATAAAATATAAGCTGAATTGGTAAAGAGTGACTCTTAAGAATCTAAAAGAGATGAGTGGTTACTGCAAGTAGAACCTAATTTTAAAGTGAAGTATATTAATTAGGGTGAATGCATGTCCTACCATTATCATCCCATTTTAGGGTGAATGGATGCATATGCCTGAAGACCTACGTAGTATGGAGTATTCATTATAAAAAAGGAAGTCAAATGGGACGATTCACGGTTCTTTCTCTCCTGATAACAAAATGGCTACATAACAACAAAAAAAAGATCAACAATGTTACAGGAGGTTTACCACTGAAACAAGGCAATGCTTGATCTTTGGATCAAGACCACGATAGAGGATACTGATATCTATCTCAGTAGATAAGGCCGCTAATGTCGCTTTTATATCTTCAACACTCTCACAAGTCTTCTGCCAACCCAAAACTGCATGAAAGACATCAATCATTCATTCATTTGAATAAAAAACCATAATAAACAAACCACTATTGGTCTCTACTTCTCTACCCTCTGTTGAGACTTCACTTTAAGCCATATTCTCAATGCAGATATTTTTTAAAATAGTTGATAAAATGGGGAACTCAGCAACTACAAGGATCAGTCAGTACCCTGAACCACCAACTGAGAGATAAAAAAGCAAAGAGACAAACTTGCCACCTGAAACCTTCCTAGACAGGCAAAGAGATGAGACTACCTGTAGTGAAAACATGTGGATGAGTTGAGAGGAAACGGTGGATATGATTATGTCTCCCACATCCGCCAGCATCTGGAGCACAAGCCAACTGGTGGTTCATCTCAACGAGATTCATTAGCTCATCAAAGGATGTATCTTGGCACATAACCTGAAAGGAAACAGCTATAGCTTTGTGAAGTCAGGCCATACAAACTCGTATGCTACTTGTTCAGAACAACTTGATCAATTACATCAATTATGACCAAATCAAGCATCATTGTAAATATTACATCCAAATAACATGCCTTCGTTGTCCGGAGAGCACTTGCATTAACATTGTGAAAGAAAGAAGTATATTTCAGATGTCTAGACTCTAATCCACATTGATAGCAGTTCATCCGTTCAAAAACATCCATTCCAAAAAGAGAATGTACAATACAAGCACTGTTTGTGCAATCCCGTGAATCCAAACTGCCGCTGCTGTCTGCTGATTCCAAATCACAAGCACCCAAAGCTGATGTAAATGATTGATGCAGGCAATCAAATATCACACCTAGCACTTCAGAAGCATCGTTCATCTGGCCCTGTACGTAAAAGGTGTGAATCAGTATCCAAACTAAGTGAGAGGGCGGGCTTAAGATGTAAACAGTGAAGATAGTACAGTGAAGATAGTAAATTTGAGTTACCTCCTGGAAAAAATTGCTGTCAGGATACAGGTTGCTCAGAGCAATCCGAAGAGAGTTAGGAGCAACTGCTTCTTTTTGTGACTGTGATGACGCCACGCTCAGAGCAGTAAAGATATCATACAAAGAACATACGACACATGGATCACCAACATGATTATGCTCTGGAGATGATCTCAAGAATTCACTTCGAAATCGTCTTAGATGCCACAATGACTGAAATTAAACAGCAGAGCAAACATTTCTAACACACCATCCCAAGTTACATAAAGAAGTACAAAATTAGCACAGATAAAATGAAAGTAAAGTAAGTCCGGTGGCAGAATGATGAAGCAGCAAAATAGTTCTCAGTCACGCACCTGAATTATGACATTCACAAAGCAATTATATTCCCCGACTTCATTCTTTAGCCCTGTTCCGTATACATCATTTCCATTAACAATTTTAATAGCAAAATCCTCGTATGGAACTCCTGTATCAGCCGGCTCTGAGAACATCCGGTGTGGTGTCCCAGAGTGAGCTATCAAAGGAAACTTTTGATGAGCATGGAATGTGTCTAGAAAAATGAAAGAAGTAACCAAAATTTGAGAATGACGTTAAGGGTAAGCATTCAAAAGTTTAAACATCAAAGTACTATTGAAAGTAAGTAAGAAAGATAGAATTGATTCAACTTACAAACTGATTTGTGCAAACTTTTATTTAAAGTCATAATGAGCTAAGTGATGATGTCACGCTATCAAGAAAATACAACTACTTTCCACACTCCTCAATCAGGAGTGTATAAATCGTATGCATAACAAATATATTTCATCCAAGGACCTCTAAGAGGTTTTGTCAAGATGTCTGAAACTTTGTTGTCTATGAGAACACAACTTGTGATAAGTTATCTAGATATGTTCATCTCATGGATTCAGATTCAACTGGGCTGTTGCTGTTCTCGTTGTATGTTCATCCCGTGGATGAATTGACAATCAACCACAATGTGTGAAATCCTCTTGTGGTATATAGGTGGTGACGTGATACTTACTGCTGCTAGGTCACCACACATTAATTGTGCATGTCCTTTGCTTCCCATGCTTTAATTCCTGGCGGAGGTGCTTCAAGTCTTCAACTATAAGATCACACATGCAACAAACACCATTGCATGGAATTCTGTTTCAACACTCCATAGTCAACCACATCTTGGTTCTTAATTTTTCAAGATATTACGTTTCCACCAATCAAAATACAACACACATAAGTGGATTGTCTATCTATTGGACAACCAGCCATGTTACAGTATCCCATAATACTATTATGGTATCTTTCCTCATAGAGTAATCTTTGTCAAATTGTCCTGGTCTTTTCTTCTCTGAGGCAGTAACATCTCAATGACCATCACACCCCTTAGGAAGACATTTTCTAAGCACACTTGCTGCAAAGCAAATATCCGGCCCTGTTATTGTGAAGTGAATAAGTAATACAATTTTCCAACATCCAAGTAACCTTGTATATTTCCAGAAAACAGGGGATGACTATCCCTATCCAAGATGAAGTGTGGCATTTGAATCCACAGGAGTATGAGAGTATCCACATGTCTACTTTTTAACATAATTGTTTCCTTAAGAGTATCCAAAGCATGCTCATCACGTAGTTGAATAATCGTCGACTAGTCGGCTGGGAAGGAGCAACAAGGGCTTGTGCCTGGCCTTTTGGGCATTTGGGCTTCCAGTCGGCAATGGTTGGTAAGAACGATAGGAATATTGGGTAACCCTGTTATTCTGTTAGTAGACCTGACCCAACCCGTATTTCATTTGTAAAGTTGAAACAAAAATACCCCTAGCAAAATCGCAAACTCTTGAAGGAGGATACCCGAGCTCAGAACATAGGAAACCCTACCCTCTCGTTGTTGATATCTTGCCACCAGAGAATAGACCTTGTTGTCGCTGTCAGTGGTTTCCTCCGTGAAACACAAAGTTTTCCGTTCATTCTGTTTTCCCTCTTTTGATTTCCCCCTCTTCGTTTCCTTTTTTCATCTTTTACTTGTTTCCCTTTAATTATTTTTTTTTTGGTTCCAAAGTTTTTCATTTTTGCTAAATTCTGAGTTCTAACAAAAGGCTAATAGAGTTTTTGCACTTCTTAGTTTATTTTCCTTTCTTTTATTCTTTCCTGCTAGTCTATTTTTTGTACTCCCCATTTATGTTTCTATTCATTTCAGACTAAATAAATTCACCTACTCTAGCTTGCAAAGAGGGTATAGGGGTGACATAAAGTTGGATCCTAATATTTGATAATTGGAACTAGGAGCTTGTACTATCTATTATAATTTGTTTGTTACTTAGTGTAATTGTGGCCTTTGTTTCTCTAGGAAGACATTTGTTTGTTATCTGCTTATATTTGTTTGAGGACATAATAGATTTGGAAGACATTTTAGACATCCTTGTGTTGTGTCATGAACAATTAATGAAAACATATACGACGATAATAGAAACAATTACAAGTAGAAAAAAGAGCTGAATAAGGCACACTATTATTAAGTATTGACAAAGGCATCCAATTATGGATAATCATATTGTTTTCATGGCAAATAGACCCCTTCAGCACTATCTTAGGACGTTGAAAAGGACAGAGGATGAAATTTAAGGCTTAGACCATGTCTTCCTTGAAGCATAATAATCTCTCTACCTCTCAAGAGGATGTTTTGAAGCAAGGGAGAATTGAAATGGAATATGCCAAATATCATCATAGAAGACATCCTTATTTATTTGCAACGAGTAGATGCAAGTTGTATCAAAGTTCTTTGATTTCATGTACAAGTTACTATTATTAGATGCAAGTTGTTTACAAGTTTCCACTTTATTTGCAAGTTGCTCCATTTTAAAATTAAATAGGACCTCTTAGCTTTTGTTATGATAGTTGATAAATGAATCTTGAATATGAATTTTGATAGTTCTCTCCTCTCTAAAGTTCTTTTTTTTCTCCCTCCAATTCTGTTCAGTTTCTCCCTCCATATCCCTGTATCTGTCATCTCTCTCTAATTTGACGCTGTTCTATTGACACATGAGTGTGCACATGTGTTTTAAACTTTTACATCATTGAGTTATTGACCTTTACTCTTAAACCGCATATTTGCATAAACCGTCCAAGTTTAGAACTGGTGTAAGTAATTGGTGTATAAGTAGCTTATATTTGCATAAGTAGCTTAGACTAGTAGCTTAGACTAGTAGCTTAAACCGCATACTACTGGTCTAAAATGACACTAGTGCNCTCCCCTCCCTACTCGTATAAGTTACTAGTGTAGGAACCAGCATTTGGGTGGGGGGAGGGAGGAGTAGGAACCATTATTTTTACCAACGGGGCACTGTAGGTGCCTCAAACGAAGTGGTGTAAGCAAATGACATCAATAGCATTGGTGTAATTTTAGACTTACTCTGTGTGTGTGTGTGTGTGTACCTATTACACGTGAATAAATTAGCTTAACAAACATCAAAAGACTCAAACAAACATGACATATCCACAAGGCGATATAGGAAACAACGTTAAAATATACAACCAAACAAAGAAGATGGGAGAGACAAATGCACATACCAAGGCTTTCTAGTACAGCTGTTTTAAGATCAGCTTGAAACCTTTTTTCGTCATCATCTTCAACTTGCTGCGCCAATATCTTCAGGCCACTACCCTCAGAATGCTCTTTTTCTAGATTTTAAACAAAATTGTGTTGAATTTGCCCATCAGCTTCAAAAAAAGAACAAACCAACCCAAACTAAATATACTCATATATTCCACTCCAAAGTAAGGTTTGGGGAGGGTGAGATGTATGCAAACCTCACATCTACCCCTAGGAGTAGAAAGTCTGTTTCTGTAAAGACCCCAACAAGCAGTGAAAGGTAGCATGAATAATGATGTAAAAAGAACAACAAAAAGACAATAGAGAAAACTTGGAAGGCAAGTGTGCAGGTAAGTAGGCAAGTAAGAAAGCAAAATACTAGTTAGCTCAGACCAGCGCAGTTCTAACTACATGGCAAAGAGAGCCTCAACCCCTAACAATCATAGCTCTCAAACCCTAAAAGGAATCTACTGCCCTATTCTAACATCTCCAAGACCCCTATGAAATGTCATGTTTGTAAGAGAATAGTACAGATGTTAAGGCTAAGTTTGACGCTCCAAGACAGGGACGGGGACGTTGTTGGGGACACCTATTGACGGTTCAGAAACGTCTCTCTATGGACGGTGGGGAAGAATTGGAATGGGTTCAACGTTTGAACCGTGACCACTGCTATTTTATTTATTTTATTTCTCTCTCCATCTTAGGGATATAAATCGGGATTGGGGGAGACAGTAAATTATGAATGATATTTGTTCCTCTCTTATTCAAATTGGCGCTAATTCTCTCTAGTCTGTCAGTCCAATCAAGGCTCCCCCCCCCCCCCGGTTGTAGCTAAAAATATGATTCTCCCTTTGTCCCAATATTATGTCACACTTTGATCAGACACAGAAATTAAGAAAGTGTAAACCGTGTGACCTAGAATTATGCAGAGAGAGAAACTGGAGCAGGTAACCCTTTCCTTAATAGAAAATAAGACATATTTTGGAACAGAGGAAAAAGAGGAGAGAGCATTATTTTGGAATAGAGGGAGTACCTTTGATTGTATCTTTTTATATATGCCTTTGGATGTTTTAATATTTATTTTGGCGTATCCTTTCCGCACTCGGGCCCTCTAACGTTTAAAGTTGCCTTTTTTCATCCCCGTCTCCGTCCCCGTATATGCACCCACACACGTCCCTCTGCAACTTAGGATTAAGGTCTGTTATGTCGAGACTCAACTTCTCATATGTGGCTTATGTGCTTTCTCTCTCCTCATCCCTCAACGAAATTGCTCTCCACCCTCCTCACCAATGTCATCACATCTCTCTAGCATATGTGATCACACCCCACATTTTTTCTAGAAGACCACATTTGGTATTTTGTTAAAACATGGCACTACCACATGCCCATTGCAACTTCATCATCTACCCAACTTCAAACTTCTTCCCCCAAGTTTAACGAGACACCCTTGGTACTGCACTATTGCAGTATCCCTCCACTTTTGGTGATAGAATGTACACATTTTTAGATAACAAACATTTGACAAGGACGCTCCCACTTATAAGTTACCATTTGGAAATTATCTGTACTACGAAACTACTCAATTATCAAATATAGTTATATGTGTTAGAAACGACATGGGCTTAATTAAAACAAGATGGAATGAATGTGTATATATTTTCAGTTGGATTGGGATTTTGAACCTCTTAGGTTTGGATTTGTGTGGGATCCCAAAACTCCTTTCTCATTTAGATTATCCTTGTATCATTCCTCGCAAAAACACCATAGGAGAGAATTTAAATTCCAATACACTACTAACTATTGAATACGCAAGTTTCTAAACTCGCACAACCACAAAATTACTATTGAAAGACTAACTATGGAAATATGTTATAGTACACAAACTGAATGTGAACTAATAAAACATCACACAACAATCCCTATTTCTCAACCTTCCTTGTGCGCAGCTTTGCTGCCATAAGATATTGGGTTATTTACTTGTCCATCACATCTTATCACACCCCTCCATGACATCAAGCTAGTCCACAAGTTTGAAAAATGATAACCAGTAAAGCAAACACTTGCAATGATCAAACCGTACAATTAAAAAAAATTATAGAGCCCCATCTCATGAGGATATGAGGCCTCCAACAGCTTGGTGCGTTGTGCGGCCAACTATTGCCAGCAGTGTGTTGCAAAGTTTCTTTCAGGCCACCCTCCTGTTGAAGTGCTGTTTACCGGTTTTTTGTCTTCCTGAATGTTGGGGTCACGTAGATCTATCCCACTTCTTTCATTTTTTTAGTTACTGTGAGTTGTTGTGCTCAGCCCATTTTGATTGGTTTTGTTTGTCTATTTATCATTTGTTCAAAGATCTTTTTTATGGGGTATAAATTTGGACTGATTGCATTCACGAAGAAAAATTGTAATAGTTTACAAATAATAATTAATTAACTGAAAATGGTGAAAAAAATTCAAATTCCTAAATATAATAAATTGATTAAAGTTAAATCTTTTCATAAACAAAGGTAATTAAATAAATATTACTCCCTCCATCCTTAAACCTTATTTCCATTTCAATTTAGGATATTTGACTAAAGTTATTTCAATTCAATTAATTTGATAATGTGTCAAATTTAAAAATAAAATGTACTCCATCAAAAGTTCTACAAAACAAGAGATGACTTGATTATACTATTTATCTAACGACCAATGAAAATAGGCAAAGAAAGTGAATAAAGTGTGACCATGTGAATAGTAACCGGGAAGAAAGTTTAAGGACGGAGGGAGTATTATTTTTCCAGCTTAATCAACATACATGCTTAAATAAAATAGTTTTAAAAATGATTTGATTAAGTTATGCAATTTCTTCATTTGTTAGGGTTTGCTTTTTGTATTTGGAATCTGATATTATAGAGAGAAAGGGATATACAAGGATGTGACACATAGGATTAATGCAGGTTGGCTGAAATGGATAATGGTGATAGGAATACTGTGTGAATGTGATGCGCCTCTAAGACAGATGGGGAAAAATATTACTACTAGAATACAATATTCTTTATTATACGGAAAAGAACGTTTAAATATGAAGAAAGTTTTAATACAGCAAATGAATGGAACTGATGAGTATGTTAAGGCGGATGTGTGGCATGACTAGCAGGGATAGTGTGAAATGATGAAATTCGTTTAAGAGTGGTGTAGTGATAAGTGAAATTAAAGCGAGAACCAGTTATGTTAGTTAGTGCTAAGGGGGAGGTTGGATGTATTGCACCATCAATTCAATGGTGTAACCTTGGGAAACAAGATGGTGTTAACCATTAAGAGGAGACCATTAGCAAATTGTCATCAAAACAATTAAGTTAATGTTAATTAATACAAACCTAATGAGCCATCAGAAGATCTCGCTTCACCAAATTCAGTATTTTCCCCTTTTGATGGAACTGGGTGGCACTTCTCTTCATTATATTTTATTGAACCCTTCTGGCGTCTATTTCGCCTTCCTGCCGGTCGATCAGATATCAAAGTGCTCCCCTCAGGAAATATTCCATTAGAAAGTCCTGAAAAAAACATATTTAAAATCTTCAATTGCATTATCCAAATCCAGCCAACAATCTCATAGAAGTATAGATTCTATAGAACAAAGGCAATACCAGATTTATGTACATCTGAATCAATAGTGTTCGTTGGAAAGCCTTCCAAAGAGCATAGAGAACCATTATTCTGAAGCAATGATTCCTAAAGTTATAATCCATCAGGATATAATTATATAAATACTTAATTTGGGCCAAAAGTACATTTAGCTAGCCATCGTCCAATGAAAACTTTAAAGGGATCCAAGATCTAAATTTCGGGCAATACATTAAGACATGCATGTATGCATGCATACATATGTGTGCCAAGAATATCCTTACCTTGGTAATTCTCTTCTGTTTACTGGCAACTAGATCTTGGTCATTGCAATTGGGCATGGCAGGCATATCCAGATGCATACTGGCAACCTTTTTATGTTGTCCAGCAAAATGCTTTAGTTTAGCATCATTCTCAATTTGTCTTTGATACTCCAGAGTTTCTTCAAGCTTTCTTTCCTCTGCTTCAAGTTCAACCCTGTGCCTCTGTTCCTCATCCTCCTGACTTTCAGGGTTGTAACTCTCCATAGTAGCAATTTTCGCATCATGATTTTCTCCATCAGGTGCAACAGAAAGCAAGCTGTCAAAGCATAAAGGTTTTGGGAACATTAAGGAAATTTACTTTCTTCAGTTGATTGCAGAAGATTAGAGGTTTAATGTAAGCAATGTATCTAAATTATGGAGACATACGCCTCTTCAGCAGCATCGGGGTGAAGAACTTGCTGTCCATTCCCATTAAAACTCTGAAAAGATCATAAGTAACCTATGAATTCTGCTCCTGCAAGGCACTCCTATAGAATGAATAAAGAGTTAGATTTGACACTAAGGTTCAAACCTTTGAATCCTTGGTTTTTCTAAAATCCTTGATCTTTTTCTTCTCCTTTGACTTTTCATGAAAATGTTTGACATTATTGCTTCCTCCATTCAAGCTCTTTTTGGAATCACGAGCAAGTTCTGCAAGAAATGCTTCTCTTGCAGCATCAGATTTCTCTGTGGCATCTCTCTCAGATAGATCTTCCAAGTGTGCCTGCAGAAAAATTTATATAATCATCATTTGATGAAACATCAAGGTATATCATCATCATTTGAAAATACGTCAGAGATATAGAGAGAGAAAGCAAGAACAGGAACCATTAAGCAGACAATATCATTTACAGACCCGCAGAAATGACTTCACTAGAGAGACCAAGATCTTTCTATAATCATGGGCAGATACAGACTCAAGCTGAACTTCCAACTGCTGCATCAAGCTAACCACTCGCATGATTCTTGCATCAATTTTGCTGAGCTGCATGAAGGAGAAGGTAAGAATGAAAGAAGTATGCTGGACGTTGGCACTATAACTTGAAGGAAACTATCAAAGCAATTACTAGTGAGTGCACCAACCTCAACTGAAACATGTTCCTTTTGTCGCTGTAATGCAACTTCTACATACGAATCTGCCTGACTAAGGTAATCTTTCACCCTCTGATCATCATCATGACCAGATTCCAAATCAAAAAGATGAGATGAAATTCCTCCATCTGTATCTTCAAATCCAAACTGATTAACATTAAGAGAGTCTGCATCTTTCAGAACACTTGAAATAACTTCGATCTCGAGCCTGTAGTTGGAACTTGTAACCTCGTTAAGATTTTCCAAAAGCACTTCTCGCCGCTTCTTCAAGACAATATCAAAACTTTGGTGGATCAAGTCCATTGTGTGCTCTCTTCTGTTACACTCTTCTAAGAAGAGATCTTCTATCGCTTGTAAAGCCTCCTCATAATTTAGATGCTCACATTTTCTCTCACACAAGCTCTGAAGTTCATAAAATTCCTTCTCCAGTGATCTTACAATTTCTTTGGCCTGTTGGGCTTTCTCTTCTCTTGTGCGTGTCCAGGATATCAACTGCTCCCCACTAGATCTTCCCATGAAAATCCATGATAACAATTCATCAGAATCAAATAAACATTCATTATCACATTGAATACTTGAAGAAATTGTTGCAGAATTAGGATCGGTGTTAACTCCATCATGAAACACGCTGGGAGAAAGCCTGCATGCCTTGAAATACTCATCAAACAATAAACATGATCCATCCTCACTGAAAAATATATTCTCTGAATCATCAACTCTATGAGTCTTAGTATGGGTATCACTTATGGCAGTACTTCTCTCAGGACACCTACCAAGGCCACAGGAATGAGAAAGCTCCTGAAGATATTTCAGAATCTTCTTAAGTTCCTGAGCACCTAAAAAACAAATACACGTGGGAGACTGACCAACATTGTGGTTGAACAGCTGTGCTCCATAACCAAGACTCTGCAGCTCCTCTACTGCAAAATGTATAACCTTGCTCAAATGACTAGAACCAAGGTATTTGTGTTTAATCAGTACTTGAAATACACCATGTATCCTTTCCAGCAGTTTTTCACGCTCGGGGTCATCAGCTATTGGCCAGCAATCAGAGGAGGCAGATACCTTTGTGCATTCGTTTCCATCACGGTCCATCAAATTTTCTGTGGCTTTATCATATTCTTTACTGTCATAAGTGCTTCTACTGCATCCATCTCCTAATGTCTTCTTTCGACACGAGCAATTCCATTGGTATTCATCATCACAATAGGAGTCCAAAATGTCATCCCTGTACTCATCCATGTCATTACACATATTAGTATTTTCTAAAAAACCATGCACCCGCGATTTCATATGTTTTTCAATCATTGTCGCTGCAGCATTAATATCCAATGGTTTCCAAGAACAGTTGAGGAGCATCTCCGCCCACTCATTCTCCACATTTTGAGGCAGAACAGACTGCAGCTTAGGAGACAAACTGCACAAGTGCTCATTTATGACATGCTGAATATGCGACTCAGAGTCTGAAAATCTTTCTGCACAGTGGCAACATGTCCAAAATTTCCATGATTTATTTGCTTCAGCAAATGAAAGAATTTCAGATAACACTTCATTTGCCAATCCATCTTTCAGCAAGAGAAAATGAGATTTGAGCTCCACAATCCTAATCCTCAACATTTTTTCTTTCATATCTGTGGTCATTGAACTCCAATAGGAGCGCACACAGTCCCTTCTCTCCATGGAAGACACGTTCTTCCGTGCATTTCCACCTTTCCGTCTAGCATTTCCCCTATGCACTGACCCAGCAGGTGAGTCCAAGCTCCTGTCCCCCTCCTTCGATGATTGGGTTGATTCTGATTTCTGCTGCAATAGTTTTGCAGCGGCCACTCGAACCTCAATTTCTTTCCTTCTCTCCTCAGGCGTCCTAGTAGCCTTCTTAATTTCATTTGGCTTTCTTGCCTGTACTGTTCTTAGTTCCATTGGATCCTCTGCCATCCTCCTGATTGGTATCAACCGGAACTTCTCCTCACCAGTTCCTAAATTTTTCACCCAACTCGAGATAGATGCAAGGTTAGACCTCTGAATCAAAGTCCTAAGCTCAGCTTGAACATGTGATATCCGAGCCTCAGCAGTGGTTAATCTCTGTTGATTCTCCTGTAAGCTCTCCTTTGCAGGATCAATTGGGTTTTCAATTGCCAATGCCCTCTCACACTTGTGGACAACCTCCTCATACTCCGTAGTCTCGTTTGCAGCCTCATACAACAAATTGGCATAGAAATGCGCAAACTCAATCGAATTAGGCGCAAGTACGACCGCCTTTCTAGCACTGTCAATTGCATTCTTCAAATACCTGTTTTTTGCATTGGGATCATCAATAATGGATGCCACTTTCACACAAACAGTTCCCTGGACCCGGTAAATCAAAGCCAAGTTGGGTGAGTTCTCATGCTTCGCACACAAGTCCTTCATCATCCTTAAGGCTTTGTTGTGGTTCCCTCTACGCAGGGACATCAGTGCTCGCTCGCATTCGAGCTTCACATTAGAATAAGATGAGGAAGCATTTGTTTCTGATTCAACTACCACCTTGTCATTCGGAATCAGGGATTTATCCAGAACAGTATCATTATTTTGGTCGGACTCCAGGGATGCCGGTGAGGCTGCCCAGTCAACAGAGACGGCCGCAGCCTCCACCGGCACCACTGAGGGTTTGGAACGAGGAGCAGTCGTTCGCTTCTTGTACCCCATCAATTTCTCCTACACCAATTTCACTGACATGTATATACGCATCTACCTCTTCTACATAATACACACGAAACTTAGCACAAATATGAAGGACTAGTTTTTGTACGGAGGTAGACTCACTGTGAGCGAAGAAGGGAGAGCTACGGAGGCTCCGGAGACGTAGGAATCGATGCACTGCCGATCACCTGCGGGCTGAAAGCCTGAAACACTCTCCCTCAATACCACTGCCCTCTAATATGAGGAAAGGAAATGAATTACACTAAAAAACAAAAGGAAAAAGAGTAAACTTCTAAAATACTATCTCCGTCCCACTGTATTTGTCCACATTTGACTTTTGGAACTGTTCATCTAAGCACTTTGACTCATCAAATTCTCTCAATGTATAAGCCTAAAAATAGTCATGTGTAATCTTGTTTGATTCGTCTTAACATATAGATTATTAATATATAATTTCTATAATTTTTTAATATACAAATTACAAAATAAAATTGATTAAAGAAGTGCATTGGATGGTGTGCCAAAAGGTAAGTGGACAAAGACGGTGGGACGGAGGGAGTATTTAGTGTGATTAAAGATGGCATATATATTACTCATATTATTTAGAATATTTGTTTCCTTGTTTACTTAGGTTTTACCTCCTCTCATGTATGTATAAATACCTCGACTAATGATGAATAAACGACTCAGTTTACAACACGTTATCAACACGATATCCCAACCTCAATTTTTCCTGTGGCTTCCTCCATCATCGAAAAAAAGACAAAGCATGCGATCTTATTAAAGAAATAAGAATGAATCTAAGGTTGAGGATTGCATCAAAATTAGGTGCACCAAAATGGTTTGAAATGCATCATGTCGAAATGCACCAAAATCCTTTGAAAATGCACTATCTCAAAATCTGAGTGCAGGATGCAATCTGAGCCGCACGATGCATCAGATCTAAAGGCTAGATTTTATTCTTATTTCTTTCACCAAGGTGCATTCTTTCTTTGGTGTAGATTTTATTCTTTTATATATATATATATATATATATATATATATGTATAGATTTTGGTTCTGGTGAGAATGCGATCTTAGGAGAGAAATGAGAATGAATCTGGTGCTTTAGATTGTGCGATCTAAGGGTCAGGATTGCATCAAAATTAGATGCAACAAAATGGTTTGAAAATGCATCACGTCGAAATGCATCATAATCCTTTGAAAATGCACTATCTCAAAATCTGAGCACAGGATGCAATCTGAGCCGCACGATGCATCAGATCCAACGACTAAATTTCATTTTCATTTCTCTCCACAAGGTGCATTCTCACAGGAACCGGCCCCTATATGTGTGTGTGTGTATATATATATATACACACACACACATATATATACATATATATATATATATATATACACATACACACACACACATATATATATAAAAGAAAATAATGGAATGCAAAGCTAGTTGTATCATAAGCAAGAACCGCCCAACACTATCTTTTTAAGACAAATGAAGGTGTATAAGTTTTTTTGGAGATATAATATTTTCGATCATGGAGATGTTCAAAGTGTTTTTGAACTTTTGAAAAATTTACCATAGAAAATTACGTTGAAAGTTATATTATTTTTTTCTCGAAAGAGAAAATGATGAACCATTAGTTCTTGGTCATATACATATAAATCTTCAAATGTTGCTTCTTAAAGTTGTGATTGTACACAAACATTGATACGTGTGTTCATGTAAAAAATGCATATTTTATTATTTGATCTCAAATTTGAATTTCCCTAAAGTAAATTGAAGAAATTGAACTTGTAATTCACCAATTTCCAGAAGTATATTGGTCTTATGATTCATATTTAAATTAATTTTTTTATATAATTTTTTTTGAGATGTCATCATATTTCACTCTGATATACTCGAGGGTGATATATTGCAATAAGTTGATGTGACCAATATCTAGCTAATTGCATATTATATTTAGTTTGGGATTAAAAAATAATGTTTGGGTTTTTAATTTCCCTTTTGACGTGGTAGTATAGAAAGTTAAAGATTCTATACACTACATATTTGATTATATTTTTGTACTTTGGTATGGAAGATTTTGAAAAATATGCATATTTTATTACTTGATCTCAAATGTGATAAATACTTTTGTTGATTCATATATAAGAAATACAGAGTACGGAGTATATGACATATAAAAAGAGAATTTCAATCGAAGTGTCAAATTTTATCCTCAAAGTAAATCAAATTTTATATCTATTCTAAAGTCCATAATCTCTCAAAGAGAATAACAAAATAGTTTTTTTTTACTCATGCATTTACCATTTTCTAGAAGTAAAATAGCCTAATGGTTTTAAAAAATATTAATAATAAATTGTTCAATGCATTTTCTCCTTATGCAATGATATTATATTCTAATTCTAATGTGAATTACTAAGTTATAATAAAATTTGTGTGACCAATATATGTAATTGCATGTTATATGTGGTTTGAGATTACAAAATAGTTTTTGAGAATCTAATTTCCTCTAAAGTGGTAGTATAAGACAAAAATTCATATACTCCATATTTGGTTACATTTTTTTCCATTGTTAGGAAATATTTTTTAGAAAAAAAATCATGTTACATATTCATTCACTGAAATGAGTGACAAATTGATTGACATGCATGAATATAATAGGCTATCACAACGATTGTGGTTATACATATGGATATATAAAAGTCACCATTATAGCCACATAGAATTACATTTTTTTTAAAACATTGACTATTTCAATCTCAATACTCCTGAAGAATATTGACTTCTGAAAAGAAATCCTTAAGATGTATAATCTCCTAAATTAAATAAGAGTCGTCATGTTCATCAAACACAATATATGATATATGAGGTAGTACCTAAGGTCTTACAATGTCTAATTACCACCCGAAGTGGCTTATTTTTAGGAATAAAATATTTCCCAAGTTTTTATTTGTAATCTATATATGGTTTCTCATCAATATTTTTGAAGAATGGTGTAGTGAATATATTATAATCAAAGGAGTGATTATACATATTATATTCTCTTTATTTTTGTTAGATGTAAGAGGTTTTTCCCTTGTGATTAAAGAAGTTAGTATAAATATAATTTTTCTTGTTATACAAAATTGACAGATAGCTCCAAAAGGACATTGCATAATAAGAGCTGCATAATAGAAGTAATAAAAGTCTCATAAATATTAAATATTAAGAGAGAATAGTTATTGTCCTGCATTGACGAATATTCTGTTGGGTATAGACAAATCCTTATTGTTTAAGGAGTCCCTATTAATGTTTAAGATACCAGTGTAAATAAATATTATATGACACTTGATCGAGATTTATTTTAACGTAAACCATAAGTTTACAGAAACATAACCAATTAAATTATCCCGATTTAGAGGCTGTTCTTTCGGACTAGAAAAAAAGCTCGATGTTGGAAGAAACTGGAAAAAACTGGATGAAACCGAAAAGAACTGGATGACACTGAAACGAACTAGAAGAAACTGGAAAAAACTAGAAAGAACTGGAAGAAACTGGAAGAGGAGCTGGAAGAAACTAAAAGGGTTGGAAGATACTGGAAAAACTTCAAAAAATTAGAAAATCTAAAAAAACTTTTAAAAAATTTATTTTATTGTATTTTATATTATTCTGATTCTAATTCTTATTGTTATAAATTATTATTATTATTATTATTATTATTGTCATCATCATCATCATCATCATCATCATCATCATCATCACGTTATCTTAATGAATGTCTTTCAGATTTAAAAAAATTATTGTTATTTTTCAAATACAGAAAACTATTTTTGAAAAAAAATAATTATAATATAAAGTTAGCATAAATATAAAAGTATTAAATTTAAAAAAAAGTTCTTGTGGTAACATTGCACCTCAATTTATTTATGCAGTATTTATTATAAATAATATATTTGTAATTGTAATTTATATAGTCCAAGATTTTGTTTTAAATATTAGACATGTCACATAACGTAATCAAACATATTTTTTCTTTCATGATTGGCATTTTATTTTCATTGGAAGTCTTATTTTTGGAATAAAGACATAGAACTTTTTTTTTACATTTTTTATGTTTTACTCCTATTTTAGTCTTTTTCTCTAAATTATTTTGACTTTCAATTTTTAAAAAAAATTAGAAAAATGAGAAAATTTTGAATAATAAAGGGAAAGGTGATAGGTCTTATATAAAGTTAGATTAATAAAACATTCTATGTAACTATTTTATCTATTATTTTTTAATATAGTTAAAAATATTGATATTTTCCTGTTTTATCATGTAGATTAATATACAAAAAATAGTCTTATTCATATTAAAACGTTGAAGAAAAAATGAGCGTGAATCGTAAAAATAGTGAGATGAAAAAAAAATTTATAAAATATAGTTATGAACATAACTGTTGTAATAATAATAATAATAATAATAATCACATTAAAAATATATCGTTTTTAGAGTAACTAATTGGAGAGTAGAAAGAGTTTGAAGAAAATGAGAATAGTTGGAAGGAACTGGAAGAAACTGGAAGGAACTTGAAGAAACTGGAAGAAACTAAAAGAAACTAAAAGAAACTAGAAGAAAGTGGAAATTAAGAGTTTAAGTTCTAAAGAACAGGCTCTAAGTCTGTGATGTGAAGATAAAAATCATTAAGAACTCAAGTGAGTACTATTTGAAGGACTAGAAGTTTTCGTTATTATTAGGACCAGAAGATCCTATAGTCTTGTTCTCATTAGAAGATTATTATGAGATTATTACTAATGAAAGTTGAGATTCATTTCATACATATTTAGAAACTATTCAAGGATAATTGATTGGGCTCATCAACTATTCGTGATGACAATTTAAATGTTTTAAATGATGCATCATTATATTTGTCATATTTGTTGACGATTAACTCGTGACCCAAAGCTTATGATATTTGTCCATATATTATACTATGTCCAATAAATTGAAAAAAATACATACATGATTGTTATGCTATATATATATATATATATATATATATGTATGTATGTATGTATGTATGTATATGTATATATATATATATGTATATATATATATATATATATATTGGTTCCGGTGAGAATACAATCTTACGAAAGAAATGAGAATTATTTTTCACCGTCCGATCGAATGCATCTAATTAATTCTCCCACATTCGTTTCTATCTTTTTGAAGGTCTTTTTGGGTATTTCTTTGCAGACCATAAATCACGCCTCTATCTCGTGGATAATTTCCGATGTTTTTGCCGTGATCTGCGATTCTTTTATCTTTCTCCATTACTTCTCCGATTCCCATACTATTATGCGTCTTGAAATTAGGGCCGCATCATCTTCTTCTCTCATCCAGTTTTCATTTTTCTCTTCCTTTCTCTGATTTTCATAAATACTTGCCATACATCTTGCGATGCAGAGTAGAAGTGGCTAGGAGATGATTAACAATTATGGGTTGGAGAACACCGGTAAGGAGGAGGATTTGGAGAACAATAGCGAGGAGGAGATTGAGGATCTTGATGTCGATTCCAGCGCCAAGATCTGTAACACGGGCTTCTTCTCCTCACATTTGTTGCAATGGAAGTCTATGATTAAAGAAGCTACACGTCAAATTTCTTTGTGTTTTCAAGGTTGGCTTTCATAACAATCGATTTGAAATTTCAATCAGTGGCCAAGTTCTAAGATCGGAAATTAAAGTCCATCGTGGTGGGGCTAAGCCGCCTAGCCACGATGCATAACTAATTACATCGTAATGCATTTTGTCTCCTTTAGTTTGCACACACAAAAGCCAAACAAGTTTGGTGTCTTTGGAAATATTGTGAAAAAACGTTTTCATCCAATTATACATATGCATCCTCTATTCTTCTATTTTCATTTATGTTTCGAATTAAAATCTTTTTTTGTACTACAAGTTTGATTTATTACTCCATTTTTTTATGCCTACTCTTTTTAAATTTCTCAAATTATAAAAAGTAATAAGAAAAAAAGCATATAGTGAATATTTTTTGGGTTTGAGTTTAGTGTAATGTGTTGAGATAAATTATTGTTTGATTAGATATTTACTGCATTTTGGAATTAAGTTTGAGACAAATTATTGGAGTTGGTCTAATACACATTGTTTACATGATTGAGTAAAAAGTGGCTTGCCATTATTCATTGGACTTTAAAAACTAGTTGCATAATTCTCTAGGTTAGGACAGATAATCACACACTAGCAATGCATCATAGAGAATTCAAGGTGCATTGTAACATTCATTAAATTTTTGTTAAAGATTGAACAAAGTCTACATGAGTTTTTGCTAATATGCATCGTCACGGTAAAGGTAATGCATTTACATGTTAAGGAAAATGCATTCATAGAATACACGTAACATATAATGTATTTTGCTACTATACATTTTCAAAGTCAAAGTGAAATTCATCTATGAGATAGTGAAACTCTCCTCAAACAAATATGATGCATCCATTTGATTTAGATATTGAAATTTTTGCAAACGAAGATTCAAGGTGCATTGTAACATGCATTAAATTTTTTTTAAAGGTTAATGAACAAAGTCTGCATGAGTTTCTGCTAATATGCATCATCAGGGTAAAGGTAATGCATTTACATGTTAAGGCAAATGCATTCATAGAATACACGTAAAATATAATGTATTTTGCTACTATGCATTTTCAAAGTCAAAGCGAAATTCATCTATCTAATAGTGAAACTCTCTTCACACAAATAATGATGCATCCATTAGATTTAGATATTGATTTTTTTTGCAAACAAAGATTCATTTTAAATGTTGAATGATGCATTTGAGTATGAGTTAGAAAAATGTACAATGATGCAAATATTAAAAGATTAAATTGCATATTTAATAGGTCTAAGTGTAATATGGAAGTCTTTTTAAAAGAACAAATTGTTGCCTATTCGCTTAAATGGTAGAGCGGTATGTTTTACAGATGTGGGTTCGAATCCCACATGGGCAAATTATTTCGCGAATATATATTACACTTGTTTTGCATACAACGCGTCTTAAAATTTTTTATCACATACAGAGCGACAAATTAATAAAAAAATGGAATAAAATCTAAATTACAAATCACAGTGCATATATTGGTCATCAAGTTGCATTCGCATTAAATCTTTAATTGTGAATATCAAAATACATTTCACTCAGATAATTTTAAAAAAGTAGGATATTAGAAATCCATCCCTAAAATAAGACAAGAGTAGAATTAATAGCGAAAAAAAAGAATATATTTGAATACTCCATAATAAAAATATTTTTTTATTGCGTTAAAAAATCAATCTATTGCTTAAAAGAATTGGTGTGTTCTTTCAAAAAAAAGATCATTCCAAATTAGAGCCCAATAAATGGAGAGGTCAATGGCAATTTTTTAGGCGTGAACTTGTTACTTTAATGCATGCGTCATTTTTTTTTACATTTTTGCCCCTAAATATTAATTTCCCCCTATTTTAGTGCACATGTGCGGCACGTTACCAGAAATAACACGGAAGTTAATTATCAGCCTTTTAAAGTTTTAGCCGTCTGATGCACTCCATCCAATGATCAAGATCTATTCTCATTTCTTTCACCAAGAGTCATTCTCACATGAACTGGCCCATATATATACACACACACACAAATATACACACACACACAGAAATTAATAATGAAAAATTTTCACATACGTCAAAGCAAACTCTCAACATTGTAGATAACAAAAGAAACTTAGAAGCATTTAATCAATATCACTTATAAAGTAATTAATAGCAATTTGGAAATTTAAATGTGAGATTAATTCTCAACGAAACATCCTAGTAACGGTGTAATGACAATGTTGGAAATAAAAAAGTGTATAACATCTAAAGCATAATGTACAACTCTTTTGTATGGAAAAAGTGCATAAAATTAAGGGGTGCCTAACTCACTTTCTCATTTATATAATATACTCCCTCCGTCCAAGTTGAAGCTTCCCGTTTTGACTTGGCACGGGTTTTAATGGGAAGTGAAAAAAGAGAGGACTTTCCTCTTCTACCCTTCACTTTTCTCCTTATTCACGTGTTCCAACTTCCAAGTACCACCGACCCCACCCCACCCTTCTTCTTTTCCATTTCTTCCGTTCTCCTGCTTTCTTCTTTTCCTTTTCTTCCCTTCTGCGTTCTTCTTCTTCCTTTCTTCTTCTTCTACCTTCGTTGGTGTCTACAGACCAACCCCCACCTCTCTCATTATTTTTTCTTTAACCTCAATAAGATCTAAATGAAAAAATTTGAATCTAACTTCTTGCCATAAAAGCAATCAAAATATAGATTTCAAATCTAAAAAGTAAAGAAATTAAAAATCAAATACTGGTTTCAAATTTAGGAATTAAATAAATTAAAAAATCAAACCTAGATTTAAATCTAGGAATTGAAGAATCTAAAAAAATCAAATTTAGGATTCAAAAATTAAGAAATCGAAAGAAGAAAAAAAAAAGAATATGAGGGAAATGGTCTGACGTAGAACTGCAGGAGGAGGAGTGGATCGGAGGAGATACGAGGTCGAGGAAGAAGATTAGAAGAAGGAGAAGAAGAGGAAGGTGATTAATTAGAAGAAGAATAAGTAGAGCAAGAAGAAGAAGAAAGAGAAAATGGGTATGGGGTTGTCTGACAAAAACAACGCGGAAACGAAAAAGAAAGACTGGTAGGAAATTATGATGAGGGAGAGAGAAAGAGTAAAGGAGGGGTAAATGGGTAACTTTAAATGTACTCCCCCGTCCCGGAGTATTCGTCCAGTTTTGAGTTTTGGAACTGTTCATCTAAGCACTTTGACTCATCAAATTCTTTCAATGTGTAAGCCTAAATATAGTCATGTGTAATGTTGTTTGATTTGTCTTAACATATAGACTATTAATATATAATTTCTATAATTTTTTAATATACAAATTACAAGATAAAATAGATTAAAAAAGTGTATTGGATGGTGTGTAAAAATGAAAGTGGACAAATACTCTGGGACGGAGGTAGTATTTTATTTCTATTTTAGGAAATGGGAAGAATCAAGTGGGACAGCCCGAAAAGGAAAGTGAGAAGAAAGATATGGGACGGAGGGAGTAGAAGATATGTCTCCAGAGAAATGATTAAAAAAATTAATTTTTCTAACAGCTAAACCTCAAAGCTACTCCCTCTGAATTTTCAGATTTTGACTTTTCGGATAAAAAAACCAAGTGAAAAAGCCATTAGCCAATGGTTTTGATGGTTTGATTAGTCAAAAAGCTAAAGTCAGTCAAAGCTATCCAAAAAGTAATTTCCAAACACAACCTAAGTAATATCTAGGGAAAGACATTATGTTTTACTACCATATTAGACAAATTTGCCTTAAAAAAACAAATATCTACAACATCAGCAATGAACTGAGAGATTAGAGAGCTGAGAGCACACATAAGAAGAGAAGTATAACTAACAACACATTCCAATGTTCACATTCAAAATTCTCTCAATGTGCGTGTCACCGAGAGTGGTAGGAATCAACAGGGAAAAGCGGCAATCACCTCTTGCTCCAAAAACTGCAAAACCACTTGCATCGAAGGCCTCGCCTCTGGATTTGAATCCGTGCACCTCCCTGCGATTTCTATGACAGCTTCTACAGACTCCATATCTGCATCTGCACATCTTCTGTCTACCACGTCTTCCACTCCGTGCTGCTTCTCCTTTTGTATCGTATTCATCTGCATTATGATGTTCATTCCTATGTCAGCGGCGTTCTTGTTAAAGTATAAAAAATCTTTCTTGAGCCACAATATCGAGTTTGAGTTTTTGGTTGGGTTGGTTCCTTGATAGAGCCTCGTTGACCAGGACGGCAGGAGTTCAAAAGTAAACACTACCCAGAGGCCATGCTTCTACATGAGAGGGCGTGTTATAATATAAAAAAAACCTTTCTTGTGCCACAATCACAAGCTTGAGCTTTTGGTTGAGATGGTTTCTTGACAATTCTAAACAGCAATTTGAATTTTAAGATAGTGATGATGATAGTGAAGCAAAATATGAACATGTGCTTAAGATGTGGGTATGATAGGGAAAAATACCCAGCCAACGACATTTAGGCCTTGCTTTACAAACATAGGATCGGTAGGCCTCTTTCCAGTAACAAGCTCCAAAAGGAGAACCCCGAAGCTGTAGACATCTGATTTATCCGTGGCTCGGCCACTCTGCAAGTACTCTGCTCAGCAAAAAAAAATCATTAAATTATGATAAATGAACCCCAATTTTGACCCCACTTTTAACCTCACCTTCTTACTCATTCACAGGCATCCGGTGTTGTTATGGGACTCTGTGTAAGAAGAGGGGTGAAAAGTGGGGTGCAATCATGTTCATTAGGCTTAAAGTTGTGACATGAGCATTCTCATCAAGTAAAGCTTTCTTTTTTTTCTTTCTCGAATGGAACTAGCAAATGTAACACACCTGGTGCCAAGTAACCAAATGTCCCGGCAACCACAGTTGTGACATGAGCATCCTCATCTACTAAAAGCTTTGCCAGACCAAAGTCTGCAACGTGAGGCTCTAGCTTCTCATCAAGGAGGATGTTGTTTGCTTTTATATCACAGTGAACTATTCTAGGACTGCAATCATGGTGCAAGTATGCCAATCCTCTAGCAGAACCCTGGGCTATTCTTAACCGTGTTTTCCAACTCAATGACAAATCTTCATCAGCCACGTGTCGAGGACGAACTAGACAAAATAACAAAACATTACTCCCTCCGTTCCTTTTTATCATTTCGACTTTTTTGATACATTGAAAAATGGATGAATGTAGACATACAGTATGTCTACGTACATTCATTTTTCAATGTATCGAGAAAATCATAATGGTCAATTAAAAAGGAATGGAGGGAGGGAGGGATAACATACCGTGCAAGAAGTCGTCCAAGCTGCCCAGAGCCAAGTAATCATAGATCAGAAGCTTTGCATCTGGAAGACTGCAGTAGCCTCTGAGGTTGACCAAATTCATATGTTTCACACTACCCAAGACCTCCAGCTCTCTCTCAAAGACTTCCTCAGAACCTTCGCAATTTAGATCAATTCTTTTAACAGCAAATGAGCCACAATCATTCATAACCATTCGATAGACTGTACCGAATCCTCCAGAACCAACAATGTCTTCTACATCAAGTGATTCAATCTTTTCAATAAGTTCGCATGAAGGATATGGAAGATCACCATGAAAAGTAACTATCTTTGAGCCTGTAAAGCATTGATGGTTAAAGAACAATAAAAAATCAAGTAAATGGGAAAAGAATGGTCAGTTTTACAAGTCATCCATCTCACATGGTTCTTTATGAACTTGCTTTTTGACTTCTGTGTATTTTTTTGCTTTCCTTTCCTTCTCTGATACTGCCCTAACCCATAGGAAAACGAAGAGCACTATGAACACAAGGCCTAATGTAGACATTGCACCCATAACCACTGCTCTAATGTAATGAGACGGTTTCTTAACTGGAACTGCATAAAGAATTACAAAGCATTAATATATCTTTAGTGAATGATTAGGAACAAGTAATACTCCCTCCGTCTCCAATTAATTGGCCTCTTTAATTGCGTATGCATTTTCATTGATCATTTGATAAAATAAAATAGGCATGTCACAATTTGTTTTATAGAACTTTTGATGTAGTTTTGAAATGTGTAAGTTGTACTTTTTATTTCTATATCAATTTGTAAATAAAATCATTTAAAAACAAACGGGATTTTGCACGTTGTTCGAAAAGGGACGATTAATTGGGGACATAGAGAGTATATGCATAACCTCGGGAGTGCTTCGGACCCGGAGATTTTAGTTTTGTACTGCTGTAGATAATTACCTGATGCTCTGTCACTTTGAGCTTGAGGTAGAACTGCAGGGAATCCCAGGGAGGTTTTACACGGCTTGTTCACCTGCTGACCACACAGATCTAAGTTTCCAATGAACCTGAGTATATTGAAACAAATGCTGTCAGAAGTTGTATATGGTAATGACAGAAACTTAAGAAAACATTTATTCAGCTCTAACGTAAATGCCAATGTTGATGCTAAAAGAGACAAGAGACATGTATTCACACCAGCTAGTCCTTTTTGGAAGTTTGTTCTATAATCTAATTGAAAGTATTCGTTTTTGTAGTTCAAAACATTTTTTCTTCGAACCATTGTTTCATTAGTACAATTTTTTTATGGCACATCTGAAGGTACCAACAATTAAACCTGATAAGCCTAGCATTATAGTTGTTAAATATATAAAATATATTTAATATTATTGTATTATGATTTGTTTCCATACTTGTATAGTTTCCTAGAATATCTCTCCTACCATAACTAGGATTGAGACTCTTGTATATATATACATGTATTCCTCTCATAATTTAATCAATGAAAATTCCACTTCTTCATGGTAACAGAGCCTAACTAAAACCCTAAAATCTTTTCCCCAGTTTCGGCCCTTTCTCTAACGCCGAACAACACCAGCGCCGCCGCATCCCTTCTTCATCACCCACGGCTGGCAGCTCTCTCCCTCTCCTACAATGGCTGAAAGTGAAATCACCTCTCAATCCTCCACCCAAAAGTCTCCACATCTGGCTTTCTCCGTCTCCAACGTCAAACTCCATGTTCCAATTCAACTAAGTTTTTCTCAACCAAACTATAAAAAATGGAGCCGCCTGTTTCTTCTTCTTGCACGACGGTTCAACCTTCAAGGTTACCTCAACGGCTCTATTGCTCCCGTCTCCGACGACGACGACGAATGGTTTCAACTCGACGCCATCCTCCAAGGGTGGATTCTCTCCACCATCTCTGATGAGGTTTCTGATCTAGTTCTTTCCTCTATTTCAACTGCTTCTGCTCTTTGGACGGTGATTCATGCCTTGTTTCATGATAACAAACATGCTCGTGCCATGCAACTCGAGCATCAATTTCGTACCACCGTTAAAGGATCCACACCCATGGCCACGTATTGCCAAGAACTCAGGAATATTGCAGATTGGTTGGACGACGTCGACGCTCCCGTATCAGAACACCAGTTGGTTCTCCAGATGCTACGAGGATTGCCGGACGACCTGCAAGCTCAAACCTCGTTTCTTCAATTCCAAGATCCCATGCCGAGCTTTCTCCGGGTCCGATCAGCCCTCCTCCTACTCGATCGGCAGCGGACTCCCCTGGGCGGAACTAGTGGCACAGCGCTGCTGGCAGGTCGGGACGCCGGAGGTTTCACCGGCGGCCAGCATGGCGGGGGTGGCAGTCGCGGCACTCCTCACGCCGGCAGTGGGGATCGTGCTTTTGGCAGCAGTTTTGGCGATGGCTCTTCCTCGGGACAGCGTAGTGGTTTTGGACGCGGACATGGTCGTGGCAACGGCAACCGGGGTCGCGGTCGAGGGCGCTCAAACGGCGGATCGAGACAACGGCCACCAACGGACGCCCAAAATCCCTGGAACTCACCTTACCCAAACCCTAACCCCGGAGTGCTGGGCCCCCGGCCCTCACCCGTACCCTACCCCTACCCTGCCCATGCCTATTACACACCCACCCAACCCCCACACCCATCCCCTTACCCCACCCTCTCCCCCTATCCAGTACCGTACCCCCCCAGCCCCACGGCAACCCTCCCACCCACTCAACCCGTCACANTAGTGCACTAAAAGATCCAAACTGGCATGCTGCTATGTGTGATGAATAAAATGCCTTGATAAAGAATGACACATGGGAATTAGTACCCCCCTCCCCCTCCCAAAACCTCATCACCGGTAAATGGCTCTTTCGACACAAATTTGGCCCCTCAGGTGAGTTATCCAGGTACAAGGCCCGTTGGGTGGTTCGTGGTTTCAATCAACGTTTTGGCGTTGACTATGACGAGACCTTCAGCCCCGTTGTCAAGCCTGCCACCGTCCGTATTGTCCTCAGCCTTGCTCTGTCTCGCGGGTGGCCCATTCATCAACTTGATGTCAAAAATGCGTTCCTTCATGGTCAGCTACAGGAGACCGTTTATGCCAGCCAGCCTTCGGGGTTTCAAGATCCCACTCGCCCTCACTATGTTTGCAAACTCAAGAAGGCTCTCTACGGGCTTAAGCAAGCCCCCCGCTCTTGGTTTCACAGGTTTGCAGGCTTCATACAGACTATTGGTTTCAGAGGATGTAAAGCCGACACTTCTCTCTTCATTTTCTCTCAGCCCATGGGCACGGCCTACCTGCTCCTATATGTTGATGACATTGTACTGACGGCATCCTCCACGACACTTCTCCAGAGTATCATTCAGCATCTTAAGGCTGAATTCTCCATGACAGACATGGGCGACCTGCATTTTTTTCTCGGGATCAATGTGCATCGTACAGACACCGGCCTCTTCCTCCACCAGACTCAGTTTGCCCATGACATTCTTGAGCGGGCAGGGATGGTCTCCTGCCGCCCCATCTCTACCCCGGTGGACACGAAGGCGAAGCTATCTACCACAGCTGGCACGGCTCTTTCTGACCCCTCTTTTTACAGGTCTATCGTTGGTGCTCTGCAGTATCTTACTTTCACTCGTCCTGACATCACATATGCTGTTCAGCAGCTCTGCCTACATCTTCATGCTCCACGTGATGTTCATCTTACTGCCATGAAGCGTGTCCTACGCTATCTCAGTGGCACCGCCACTCACGGGATCCAGTTGACACGTTCCGCCACAGACTACCTACAAGCTTATTCCGATGCTGATTGGGCTGGCTGTCCCGATACTAGACGTTCAACGTCGGGTTACTGTGTCTTCCTGGGCGATAACCTTGTTTCCTGGTCATCCAAACGCCAGGCCACCACCTCCCGTTCGAGTGCCGAAGCCGAATATCGGGCAGTTGCCAATGCCGTAGCAGAGACTTGCTGGATCCGGAATCTTCTTCTTGAGCTACAGCAACCACTTCGTCGCGCCACAATAGTCTTCTGTGACAATGTTAGTGTTGTTTACCTATCATCTAATCCGGTGCAACATCAGCGCACCAAGCACGTCGAGGTTGATATCCACTTTGTACGCGATAAAGTGGCGCTTGGGCAGATCAAAGTACTTCATGTTCCTTCATCTTCTCAGTTTGCCGACATCTTCACGAAAGGACTGCCCTCCCTCTTATTTCTTGACTTCAGAGAAAGCCTGGGTATCCGACCCCCAGCGCATCCGACGTAGCCAGGAGCATGTTAAATATATAAAATATATTTAATATTATTGTATTATGATTTGTTTCCATACTTGTATAGTTTCCTAGAATATCTCTCCTACCATAACTAGGATTGAGACTCTTGTATATATACATGTATTCCTCTCATAATTTAATCAATGAAAATTCCACTTCTTCAATAGTCTGTAAGATTGCAACTTTATTTTTTATCAGCTTACAACACGGATTTCAGTAAATGGTGTAAGACCTAAAATTGTCTAACGTAAGCTTTGATATGCAATTAATAAATTAACATTTTAGGAAAACAAATGCAAAGAGAAGAAATGTACGACATAGACATAAGGGAACTTACGACTTGCTTCCGAAAGTGCTAATAGATCCAATATCTGGAATCTCGCCCGAGAAGAAATTTGCAGACAAATTGCTGAAGTATTTTGTGGAGAAGATATTTTACAACTTAGGCACAAACTTGCTTCAAAGACTATTCATAGATGAAATCAAAAATAAAAACTGATAATCCTACTCACAGATGCCTCAGAAGTTTCAGTTTTCCAAGTGAAGAAGGTATAGCACCTCTGAGAGAGTTGCTTGATAAATCCCTATATTACAATGAAGTCAACTTCTTGATAAAATTGAGGGAAGCATAAGTATCATTTCTCAAGTGTTACGTCTTAGAACACACACACACACACAGATATATATATATATATATATATATATATATCTGTGTGTGTGTGTATTTATGTATGTATGTATGTATGTATGTATGTATGTGTGTGTGTATATATATATATATATATATATATATATATATATATCTTACAATATGTTCAGCATAGACAGGTTTCCAATATCCCAAGGTATGCCTCCTTGAAGATAGTTGGCCCTAAGGTACCTACACACAAATATATTCACTTCAGTCACAAGTTTACGAATATCATCTCAAAAATACCCCTCAAAAGTGAAATGGATCTTTGGAAATTACACTGCTCTCAATTCAGTACAGCAGCCTATCTCATTTGGAATCACTCCATGCAAGTTATTCCGGTGAAGCGCCCTGGTTTTATAGAGAGCAAATTATTTAAACGCTTTACTACCAAAGTTTTGCATGTTGAAAAGTTCATGGGGACTATCTGTGTGCTAGTAACTTTCAATGCCACGATGGGTTTTGCATTAAAACAATCCATGTGAAAGTTACTAGCATTATAACCCTTGCACTGCTACACACACCCACATAAATATCATCTCTAACAAATATTACTCCGTGAGTTTTAGTAAGTGTGTACAAACTACACACACACACACACACACACAATCACTATAGAACAGAACCAATAAATTCCCACATGGTGGGATATGGAAATGTGTAGCAAACCTTTTCCCTAAGAGATTAAGTTTTAATACGGGCGTTTTGTGTACATCACACACAGACATAATCTATTTTAAAAATTAAGTTTTAATACGTGTACTCACTCAAAACACATACAACCTATTATAAATTGAAGGGCTTACAGTCTTTGTAATCTGGTGAGTTTACCAATGCTGGGGGAAATGATTCCACCAAGTTGCATATGAGGTAAGTTGCTGCAGTTCCAAAAAAGAAAAAAAAAATATACGATTAAGGAACATGTAAACTAAGAAAATAACATAGCAGGTTCATACGCAGAGAGGAAGAGAGTGAAGAGAATGGCATACATACATAGAGCTAACTCTTTCCTCATTAAGATGGCAAGAAATGCCAGTCCAAGAACAATGGGTTGAATCAGAATCTCTCCAGTCACTCAGAGCATTTCTGGTGTCATTCAAACTCGCCTTGAGCTCCAACAGTGCAACACCTTCATAAAGAGAATAAACAAATACCAAAACAACATAAAGTTTTTGAATTTTTTTTCAATTTTGCTTTTCAAAGGCGCATTTTGGGCTAAGAATTACAAAAGAGTAAGCCAAAAGCTTATCTTTAAACAATATCAGGGAAAATTAAAAAAAATTAGACAAGAAAAGAGAAAAAGGTAAGAGTAAAGAGGGCAAACCATCTGGACTGAGAGCAAGAGATGATGGGAAGAAAAGGGTAGCTCTCAAAATCGCTGAGAAGATCAAAATCCAAATGCCCATTTTCGTTTCGCTCCTCTTTCTCGGCTTCTTCTTCTTCTTTTTTTTTTTTTTTTTGAACTGGACTCTTTGAATTTGAATTCCTGAAGTACAGTCTCTCCTCTGAATTACAGCGTTATTTGGGTGTCGTGCAGACTGCAGTGTAAGCTCACACCTACCAAGAGTGTTTGGCTCGTAATGGTGGAGTGGTTACTTTTTCGGATAAAGCTATATGTACCTCATTTATACATTGCTACCTCATTTATACATTGCTAGTGTGTACCAATATTTTGTGTTGGTGTAATGCTCATTTTTGTTAATGCATCAACATTTTGTGCCAGTGTAAATTTTTGTTAACGCACCAACACTTTGTGTCAGTGTGAACTATCAAAATATTAGTATATACTTTTAGTATAAGTTTAGGGTACAAATTTTGGTGTAAGTGTAACATGCTCCTACTTTTTCAAATGAGTAAATTATTAATGGGTAGTTTCTGCTGGGGAAAAAGTTTGACTATAAATTCCTACATATAGGATTGAATTCCTGAGAAGGAAGAACGAGATTTTAAATTCCGAAAACAAAGAAATATAATAAATAAATAATACGAAGTATTAAAAAATAAAAATAAAATAGGATCTAAAAAACATGATTTGAAATCTCAATTTTTCTAAAAAAGTTGACGCTTTGTAAGTTACTTTGCACGTTGCCTTTACTAGATTTTAACTCATGCGATACACGGTAAAAAATTTACTAAGATAAATGTTAATATACGAAGTTAAATGAGTTAATTGACAGCGAGTACATTTTCATGAACACATTTAAATTCATCTTTTTTATCAAACTTGTTTTCAAAAAAAGTATAAGGAGAGAATTGCACTCGTTTGTCTAATGTTGCTAATGTTGCTGCAGAGTTTCTATGATTAAAATCCATAAAATTTGATAGTAGTAAGGAAAGGTGTTACCCCAAGCCATGCTTCTACACATTGTAATTATTCTCTCCATTCTTATCCAACATTGATGGGGAAAAAATTGTTGAAGGGCAAAATAAAATCAATAAAATATAGGATTAGTAAATCTTAAATTGATTGCTTCTTATCTTGAATTTGCATATGCTTGGGCAAAGATGTGATCTTAGAAAAGAAATCACAACTAAGAATCAAGTCTCCGATGAGGCGATGAGAAAAAAAATCAAAATCTTATAAATAAAGTAAGACATAAAGCAGAAAAGGACTTTACCCCTTACTTGAGGTTCAATATTCTTCTTAGTTAGTGAGACAATACAGTCTCCAATTAGGACGGCATTGACCAAAGCCAAAGATGGAGGTTCTTTGCTTTGTGAATTGTTTAAACTTAAAATCGCATTGAACCATTAAAAAAACTAAAATGTAAAGGAAAAAAATGACTTATATTAAAGTGAAATAAACATAAAATTAGTTAGCATTGGTTGACCGAATATATCAAAATGCAAGTTAATAAATTTAAACAAAATACTATGTAATAAAAAGAAATATTAAAATTAGATCTCCATAACTATGAAGAGGCCATCCATAGGCCTTGTTTGGACACTAGCAGTTGACAGTTGGCTGTTAGCTGTTTATGTTAGCTGGTTTGAATGGCTGATTGAGTTAGCTGTTTTGACCGGCTGTTTCTGTTAGCAGTTAAATTTTAAGTGTTTGGCAACTTTAGCTGTTTATAGTTAGCTATTTGTAAGTAAAATTACATAAAAGGACATCCCTCCATTTATGGTATATTTTATTTTACAATTTTTTTAAATATCATATCATGAATATATTTTTTTTAAATTAAAAAAATTAAATTATATATATATATATATATATATATATACACACACACACACACGATATTTATTTTTCATTTTTTTACATGTAAAAATTAAATTTTTACTATATGGAGTATTAAATTTTAATTTCATTTAATTCATAATAAGTTATAAATATAAATTTTTTAATGAATTATAAATATAATTTTTTTTATTTCATCTTATTTTTTTCTTATTTAATTTTTTTAACTTTTATTTTATTTTTTTTTTTACATATATTATAAAATATCTTTCAACAAAAATGATTTTAAAAAAATTATTTTTTCTAACCACCAAGTCCAAATGCTACTCCCCTTGGCATTTCAGATTTTGGCTTTTCGGATCAAAATGCCAAGTGAAAAAGCCATTAGCCAAACAATGGTTTTGGCGGTTCACTTGGTCAAAAAAGTCAAAGTCAGTCAAAGATGCCAAAAGCTATCCCAAATGCTGTTTTCCAGCCATAGTCCATAATTGAAATTTGCCTTCTTCAGACAAACCTAGGGCAACCCAAGGACACGAAACCGATTGGAAAATAATTTGAAAACAAAAATCTAAAATAATTCCCTGCACGGCATGCAGGCCACAGGAGGAGATTTGTGTCACCGAGGTCCAAGCGAAATCGTGATGTCAGTAAGCAGCCCAATTTTATTGGCCCATATTTGCGAGTCCAAAAACATCTGAGAAACCCGAACCGCAACCTGACCCGTATCAGGCCTGACATTCGGGTAATCGTCTAGGCATTCAAGTGCTAAACGCACCAATTTCACCGCCACATCCGCTGGTCAACCCACTGTCTGATCCGTCCGCCGTCGAACGCCTCCCTCGCCGGCTCGATGACGGGGATAGCCGCCCGTCTCCTCGTCCACAACGTACTTCAAGGCCTCTGTCCCCAACGGCCCCCGTGGATTGAAACTCCGGCGCCATGTATCCTCTGGTACCTTCGAACTTCATCTCCTTACGGTTCGATTCCACATTCATGTCCGATTCCGAATTCCTCTTCGCGATCTCGCCGCAAAGCTCCGCCGTGCCGAAATGGCAGATTTTGGCGCCCAGTGGGGGATCCGTGACGATGATGCTGGAGCTCTTTATGTGGTTGTGGACGAAATCGAAGCCTAGACCGGTAGAATTGTGAATGTAATCGAGACCGGAAGTGATATCGGAAACAATCTGAACTCTGAGCAACCAATAGGAGAGAATCGTGAAATTAGGGTTGAGGATTTCCGAGGGCGTCGCGAAGATTGGCTCCATGGATGTATTCATAGCCCAAGTAAATGTAATTTCTGGAAACCGCGACTCCCTTCAGAGGAATCAAGCTCGAGTGGTGACTTCTGCAAATCTTCGGTCGCTTAGGGTTCATCTCCATTTGCGCAAGTGAGGGTGAAGGAGGAACAAAAGCAGCAGCCGTGAGGAGTACTCCCGGCTATGAACAGAGCTCGTAGCTCCGAGCGCAACTGAGACTCCCCACATTTTTTCTGAAGTGCTCTGTATACCCTCCTCTTCTCCCTGCAACTGATATGCCTGAAGTGAAATAGTGGGAGGTTGTAAAGTTGCAGTTTCTTATTAATATCCGGAACTGATGTGCGTGCAGTTGGTGCAGCACATATGGGCGGGAACTTTTTTCTGCTGCTTTTGTAAATAGGAAGATGGGGGTGATGGGGTGGATGTGCTGCATTGAATTCCAACTCCTCACTCCATGGAGCCATCATTACCTTTTATCTTCTCTCAACATTTTCTATTCTCCGCATGCATGAGAATATAGCCAAAAAAATCTTCTATTAGATTATAAGATTTAACATTTCAAAAGAGTTTAATAAAATCTTCTTCTTTTGAAAGGTATGTAATCTTTTACTTGTCCCTTTTTTGTTTCATTGGCTATTTAATTACCAAATACTCCCTTCGATCCGTTCACATTTTAATTACAATTTTTTTCTCTCTCCTCTCGATAATTTTTGTTTATTTACGCGATTTTATTAAGTGTTTGATAAAATAAAATGTTCTTGTCATGAAGACAATGATGAACATATCAATTAGGAAGCTGATGACTTCTAGGCACCAAGAGGAGCAAAGCAAGTGAGATGCACATATTTTATACACTTTTTAGGCATATTTTGAATTAGTTTTGAGTCCCCATTGAATTTAATATCTATTTTTTATTTTAATTTTCCGTTTTATTTTGGAAGAGCGGTCTTATGCTTGATTGTATATGTTTTGCAGGTATTTTGAGGTCATTTGGGCGCAATGAGGGTAATTGTAAGAATGGAAAATAAATAGGGAAGTTTGGGACGAAAATAAAATAAAAGAGATTTGAAAAAAAAGAACGAAATGAATAAAAAATAAAGAAAAAAACGAGCCTAGGCATCAAACTCTAGACTTTAGGGTATGCAATTAGATCTCTAACCATCACATCACAACATAATGTTTGGCATTTTACTAATGGATAATGCTACTTGCACCCCAAAAATACCCCAAATTGTACCCCAAAATAAACCCCCCCCCACCTTACATGTGCAAGTACCCCCCACACCTGCGAAGTAATCTCCCACCCCATTTCCCCCACCTAATTCCTCTGCCTCCTCGCCTAATTCCTCTTCCTGTGTACGGTTCATCTCGTCTTCCGCCGCCTGTGGTTTCGCCGCTGCCTTCCTCGCCTTTGCCCTCCTCGTCTTTGCCCTCCTCGTCTCTGCCCTCGTCGCCGATTGTGTCCTCCTCGTCTAGCCTCATCGTCTCTGCCGTAGGTGCAAGCTTTTTTCCTCGTCCACGCCGCCGATTGTGTCCTCCACGTCTGGCCTCCTCGTCTCTGCCGTCGGTGCAAGCTGTCCTCCATCGTCCACGCTTACGCTGATGGTCAGGTAATTGCTCCTCCTTTTTTCAATTGCACCTTTTTGCTCTAACATTATTTACATTAATGAAACCCTAAATGCAAAGCTATGTTATTTTCTACTTATTTGCTGCCAAATTCAGATATGCCTGGACAATTGTTGATTTTTGTTAACAATTTAAAAATTTCTTATAGTAACTTTTGAAACTGCCTGTGCAAAGGTGTTTTTACATGCTATGTTCAATACACCTACACTTACTGTCCGTGTGCTATTGTTTTTTGTTCAATACACCAACACTAAATGTTTGTGTCATACTCATCCTTTGATAGAACATTTAATTCATACTAACATTTTTTAATAGGAGTTCCTGCCTGTGCAAAGGGGTTTTTACATGCTATGTTCAATACACCTACACTTACTGTCCGTGTGCTATTGTTTGTTGTTCTATACACCAACACTAAATGTCTGTGTCATACTCATCCTTTGATAGAATATTTAATTCATACTAACATTTTTTAATAGGAGTTCAAATATAATCCTAAAATAACGAAATCCTATTTGTTTAAGAAAAAAATAGTCATATAAGGGGGTTTTTACATGCTATGTTCAATACACCTACACTTACTGTCCGTGTGCTATTGTTTCTCTTCAATACACCAACACTAATAGTCTGTGTCCTACTCATCCTTTCATATAATATTTAACTGATACTAACATTGTGTCAATGGAGTTCAAATACAATGCTAACATTTTAACTGATACACCTAACATTTTTTGTTTGAAATGTAGGTTTCTGTACAATGGCGTTGCAAATGGTAAATGCAGACCACTTCCAAGCACAGTATACATGTTATTCCGAGCTTCAGAAATCAGTTGACATCATCAAAAAGAAACTCACACCTTCAGACCTGGATCGCTTCAAGAAGGAGTACCCTTTCGGCCACCTACTTGAGTTTCCTCCATTGCAATTTTCGGGCCAAATCATCCATCTGTTTTCAGTTTTGTTTTGCACCAGCAATTTATGTCTGTGCAAAGAGGCAGGATGTATATTTACATCATTTATTAGTGGTGAAGACAAAATATTACAGAGTACTACGTATTACTTACCAAAAAGTGTGTGAGCAAATGCATAATAAAAACTAAACAAGAAATGTAGCATTGCTCCAGTTAATGGTCAAGTTATATGACAAGACCAGTAGACCGTATACACAACCATAGCCTGAGATCAAGACCTGGGTAAGTGAGGTCATACAAACCATCTTTTCCCGGCCATTCCCACGTGTTGGTGTTTTTAAGTGAAACAATAGCACACAAACAGTAAGTGTTGGTGTATTAAACAGAATCCTTAACATAAAGATATAAAGTGTTGGTGGTGATTTTAAGAAAATAAGTATGACACATGCATTTAGTATTGGTGTATTGAATCAAAACAATAGCACACGGACAGTAAGCATTGGTGTATTGAACAGAATAAATAAACCCCTTATATTTGAACTCCATTGAAAAAAAAGTTAGAATGAATTAAATATTATATTAAAGGATGAATAGGACACAGACATGTAGTGTTGGTGTATTGAAGAGAAACAATAGCACACGGACAGTAAGTGTAGGTGTATTCGACAGAATAAAAAAACCCCTTAAATGACTATTTTTAAAAACTAATACAAATAGGATTTTGTTATGTTAGGATTATATTTGAATTAAATATTGTATTAAATGATGAGTACGACACAGACATTTAGTGTTGGTGTATTGAAGAGAACCAATAGCACACGGACAATAAGTGTTGGTGTATTGAACAGAATCCTTAACATAAACATATGAAGTGTTGGTGGTGTATTTAACAAAAGCAGTACCACACAGGCAGTGAGTGTTCGTGTATTGAAGCAAAACATATCCACTTCCAGCTTGAGATTAACTAATGCTGTTTTTAACAAAACAAGAGGTCACAACCAGTAACACTACAAAACATATCCACTTCCACCCTGACATAGTGTTCAACTTGCCCACAAAATAAGTTTATTTACATCATGTGTAAGTGGTGAATACAAAATATTACATAGTGCAACTTGCCCACAAACACTCATAGTCTAAGATCTAGATTGGTGCATGTTAAGTAGTACACATCATTTTCCCCGGGCCATTTCCATAGTTGCATGTTTTGCCTTACAGTAACACCTACATCGGTGTGGATGCTTGTCCTTCTTGTAACACGGTTTCCCCAATTATTCTTGAGTGCCTTTAGTTGTCAAGTTCTTTTTTCCAAAGCTTGTCTATATGCCTATCCAGAACAAATAAAAGTGACATTCCCTAATATGTCAATGTATGCAATGATAATAATGTCACACAAGCATAATCTAGAAGTGTGAAATCAAATAGGCATCAAATAGGCATCACATAGGCACTAATTATAGGTGCATAGAAGACATCTGAATGACTGAATACACCCAACAAAAATGAAGTGTAGAAAATAATTGTAATCATAAGTGCCTAACATGGATCAAAAGGTTTCTAATACACATGACAAATGGCTAATGGTAACTTCAAACGAGCATTATGTGTGGGTGCAAACCTCTGCCGCCATATATGCACAGGCATAAACTGTTTGTGCAAAACGAGTTCAAAAAAGCAGAAATTGGTAGCAAAGTCTATACCTGCGACTCTGGATCAATTAATGTCCGACAATTTCTATGAAATAAACGGCAAACATATACACATTTTAATTTTGAAAGCCCGTATTTAAACAAAATCCTACAAAATTATTTCCCAAATCTAGGAAAAATAACTTGCAATTCGAGGTAGTTCACACTCAGTGACCATCTGAACAAATGTTTTGATTAAGGGAAGGAGAACTCTAAACATGAAGAAAGAAAAATTGAAATTGAAATTAAAATCGAAATTCCAATCAAGCACGATAATTTGAGCATTAGAGTTACCGAGAATTGAAAATGCAAAGCTGGCGGTCGGAGGAGTGTGAGGCGCGCTGGATTAGAATCTGAAGAGAGAGCCAGAGCCAGAGATGATCGGCGCTGGGTTAGAATTGCCGATGCTCTTCTCGATGCACAGGAGGAGCAGGGCCTATCTAAATTCGGCTACTTGGCGTCTCCACTGCTTCACCCACAATGGCCACAAACGATGGCGGCGCAAGGGTTGTGCTCCGGTGGGAGAAAACAAAAACAGAGAACTTGTAGAGAGAGAGAGGAGGGGGGAGAGAAGAGTGGGTTGGAAAGAGAGATGGACCTGTACGTATGGTTGGGTGGGGGTATATGGGGTACACCACTGGGGTACAAAGTGGTGTACCCATAGCGCGATTATTTACTAATAGATATTCTTTATTTCTTTTTTAGAATTCAGCCCATGAAAAAATGACAAAACAACAAAGAGTTTGAAGCTTCAAGCACAAGTTCAAGCAACGCGACAAACAACCTTATTTCCTTGTGGGCTACTGTACCTTTGTTGATATTCTTAGGACTATTTGTATATACTCCGTGCATACGAATTTATCCATAAAAACTCCTCCCTTCTCTTCTTTTAAAGAGTTTGACTCCATACTTTTCCCTATCTCCATTTCCGAAATTCTCTTCCCATCTCACTAATATCTCACCACTTTCATCTTCTAAACACATTAAAAAATACTCCATCTTCATCATAATCAACACCATCTATTATATTTGAAGCTCAAGAACACATCTTCCTTTTTTAAGATTTTTATGATTGTAATAAATATTTATTTGTTTAAGCTTCAAACTATGAACTTTTAAATTCAATTGGGGTTAGAAGTTGGTGTAATTAATTGTCCATCTAAATATTTTTAACATGGATTATTAATTTTATTTTTATTTAGATGTTGTATTTAAAAAAATAAATAAATCTTGAGTGTCTGTGATTAGTAAGAGTTCAATCACAAACATAATTGTTAAAAGAAATTTGAATTAAAATTGATATAATCATAAAATAGAACACTTTTGAAATACACCGAAAGTCTCTTCCACCTTTAACCGGGATTGAAGACTTTCGGGTGGACATAATTATTGAATTGTATTTTTGCACCACTAAATTGGGTAATTATACAATAAAATAATTATGGTTGCCGTTGTGACTAAATAATTACTTCGGATTTATCATTAGCGTGCTAAAGTCGTATTAGTTGTTATTTAGGTGAACTGCGAGAGCGTCGGATACGTCCCTAACAACTTTTCTGCAACCCCACACATTCTTTATAAAAATAAATTGATAATCCAATTTTTATAAAAATATTAGATAATTAATTTACCAATTTCTACCCCTAATATTTCATTATAAAAACCTTTGTGTTGTTTGGAACTTTTTCCTTTTACACTTTTTATTTTATTTCTAAACCCAAAAAGACTAAAAATATTTTACTTCTTTTGTAAACTTTTGTTTAAATTAAATCAACTCACATCTCCTTGAGGTTTGACACCCTACTCACGAGGGTTCGACATCCTAGAAGAAAAATTTTTTACTTTTTGAAGTTATTTTATTTAAAAATCGGTATATCCATAAGAAATAAAAATTACATATTAAAAAACTACGTCAAAAGTTCTACAAAACAAGAGGTGATAATAATATTTTATTTTATCAAATACTTAATGAAATCACGCAAATAAACAAAGTTATCGAGAGGAGAGAGAAAAAACATTATTATCAAAATGGGGACGAAGGGAGTATTTTGTAATTAAATAGCCAATTAACAAAAAAAGGGACAAATAAAATATTACATACCTTCCAAAAGAAGAAGATTTTCTTAGACTCTTTTGAAATGTTAAATCTTGTAATCTAATGGAAGATTTTTTTTGGCTATATTCTCATACATATGGAGTATAGAAAATGTCAAGGAGAGAAGAATATATAAGAGTTAATGGCTGCACATCCATGGAGTGGAGAGTTGGAATTCAATGTTGCACATACACCCCACCACCGCCATAAAAGCAAAGTGCAAAGTAACTTGTAAAGCGTCAACTTTTTTTAAAAAATTGGGATTTCAAATCTCGTTTTTAGAACTCCATATTATTTATTTATTATATTTCTTTATTTTCGGGATTCTTTCTTTTTTGGAATTCAATCCTACATCTAAGAATTTATAGTCAAACTTTTTCTTCTTGCATGAAACTACCCTTCGCTTGCATAGAGGCATGGAAAGGTGTGAAGTGTGGAGTAGAGAGGCAGTGTAGGGCGCTTTCAATTTTGAAAAAGAAGAGGAGTACTTTCTCCAAAGCATTTTTTAATCCTTACTCATTCATTTTAAAATTTTTGATTAACTAAACTCCATTGACAAAATATGGTCAAGATCTTGAGGTCAACGGGTTATTTAACTTTTTTGTCAATAAAACAAGGGCTCTACACACTCCATTATAGGGAGTATTACTCTAATATGTCATGAAATGCGAGTATTCAAATGATACAATATTGGTATTTGATATATCATAAAACCATTCAGACTATTCTATTTTGAAAGGGAACGCCTAAAATTATTTCATAAAAATACATTAAATATCCAAAGATTGAAATAAAAACACAAGTTTGTTCAAAAAAATGTGTACAAATTTAGATGAGTTTTTTCGTCATTTATCCCTTAATTCTAAAACTATAGGGATTCCTCCTGAATTTTTAAATTTGTATCAATACCCCTTAAACTTTTAAAAATGTTGCATCAATGGTCTCTCTGTGCTAGATTTGGAAATTCCTTAATCCACGTTCATCCAGTGCAAGTATGGATTCATCTAAATTCTATATCACTTAGTGTATAATTTATATTTCCGGATAAGATTTTAATGATATTGCATAATTATCTTACTTTATCTGCACGAGACTATATTCTGGTGCGATTTCATCTGGGCTCCAAGTTCAGAGGTTTTTCCATTTACTACAATTGGAAGGTCAAGACCGATGGTTTTTATTTAGGTTGCGGCGAATTCCTAGGCGACAACAAATTTGTCCACTTTTATGATTGGGATGAACTTCAAGAATGAGCCATAGTTAGAGTACTAGACTAATAAGTTAGGTATTATTATCCAATTATTTGAATTTAATAATACTAATAATCTCATGTTAAAATGTAATATTTTTTAAATTCATATATACGTGTGTGTGTGATTAAATTCTAGCTTTATATATTATCTAGCTTTCTTTTAAAAGGAATTTTATTATTTTAGGACCACTTCCCCACATGCATCAAAATTACTCAAAGTTCACCTACCGCTGAACACTTTTTTTGATGCCTTACCTTTGGTTGCTTCTCCAAAATTATTTGTTTGTATAGGCATAATACAACATAGCCACATCTGTCATTTTCCGCTTTGGATCAGCCTTGTTGGAAAACACATAAACAAAAAAACAAATCTGAATTGCCGCCAAATAATCCATCCGCACCTTAATCTCCATCTACGGGACGGAGTGGAAAACCAAAATCATCTGGCAATCGAGAGTGGTGTCCATCCTCAACACCAACATGTTCTTGGGTATTATTATGGCGATGATCTTCCGCATAAGCTTGCTCTTGGGTAGTTTTTTGAAGTTCAACCTCCACCTCAAATTTCTCTTGAGTACCCTTGGGAAGCTCACCTTCCACCTCAACATTATCTTGGAAAGAGTTAGGAGTACGGTTGGATCATGTATAAAGAAATGTCTCCACATTCACGTTTGGTTCATTATTAAGTACAACCTCATCTTGGCCATGGCCTGATCTTTTATAAAAAATTAAGTTACAATCAAAATATTCATCATGGAAGAATAATTGACTATCATGTTATTGGTTGTCATTTAGATTTTCCAACTCTCTTTCCTCAATTTCATGTTCCTGGTTTCCATTTTGATTTTCCTGCCCTCTTTTCTCAATTTCAGTCACCCCAACACATAAGAATGTAGAATCTGTGTCTTCATCCCTCAGAAATGAACCTAGAGCCTTATCACCGAAATTATGAGAGATGACAATTTCCTACTGAAGCGAGAAGATTGGTACAAACTTCAAGTTGATGCTTTCTTTGTTCCAATCCAAAGTACTGATAGATACAAATAAAAAGGGCATCGAAGCCTATATTGCATCTTTCCCACTCGATCACTGGTGTCTCACTTTACTTGTTGCGTTTAAACTGAAATTTGTTTATATCATTTTTAACCCACTTATCCCCATAGTGAATGAATGAAGATGGATAGAGAAGAGGCCATGTGCTTGCAATAATGGAATTAAATATGTCAACGTTTTATAAATGTGTTGATCTATATACAACATGTCGACACAATCACATTTAGACCTTATATAATATTTCGACATAATTACGACAACTTTTGTCAACCCTCTTCGACGTAAAAATAGTCGGCAAATTTGTCGACCTATTTAGCTCAACATGGTATCGACCAAAATATCTCAACATAATTCAGAATATCAGGATAAGTACATCGAAACTTGTCAACATCCAATCCACATAATAAATTTTTTGTTTAAAAAATATCGATATATGTTGACTTAATACTGACGAGCAACGATAAACGAAAGATGGCGAAGAGTGTCAGATTAAAATGATTGACTTGCATGAGACACCCACAAATAGTGGTGAACGATGAGAGGCAACAGAGTAAGTTCGACGAACACTAGGTAAGGCAAGCGATGTTTGGATTAGAAAATGATGAACAATGACATGCCGCCGCAAAGAGAATAACGAATATCTTTGCTAGGGTAGAAAGCTCCCACCCTCGCAACGGTTTGATAACGATAACCCAGCGATAACAGCTAGGGAAAAAAAGATAAGAGAGTAATTTCATATTGAAAGAAAGGGTAGGCTAACAAATACGAAGCGTTTTAGGGTAGAATGATAAAAGAAATCTTTTTTTAGGTTATTTTGAAAAAGATCCCATCCTTGGGTCCAACTATACCTGGCAAAAAAATGGCTTGACCTATTTTCGACCTGAAATCCAATCTGAAAACGCTGTGTTTTGAATAAAGATTTTGATGACCAAACCTGAATGTGACCGAACCCAAAATGACCCGTTAAAAATAAGTCAAACCCGACCCGCTAGTGTAAGATTTTTTTAAAATCATTGACTTTACTATGAAATATAATGTTATTAAAATAAGGTCATAATTAGATTTTTTTCTTAGTACTCGTTTTTAGTGTATAATTTATATTTCCGGATAAGATTTTAATGATATTGCATAGTTATCTTACTTTATCTTACTAATGATATTGAATACAATTTTGTTCTTTGTATTGATTTATATATTGAAAAATTACTTCACGTACAATTTAAAATAAAATAATCTAATAAATTTACTATGGAGTACTTTTTTTGATATTTTAAATTTATTCAATACAAAATACATGTGTTAATATGGATTTAAAAATTTTAAAAACCAAAATTATAACTCGTTGGGTCGATCCGAGCATAATGACAATTGAACATACATTCACAATCAAAACCTTAATTAATAAGAATTCAAAACCTTAATTAATAAGAATTCGAAATAATCCCAACCTGAACCCTAAGTGGTCTAACTCGACCTGACCAATATAAAAAATCAGGGATTATATATGGCGTCTTTTTGCTGGACATTTTCTTCCCTATACTGCAGACGAGGTAATTCTTCTACCCCGTATCTTCTCCTTCTTGTGCGTCTCCTCTCTATTCGTCCTATATTGGTGAGATTTCAGGCGTTCTTCTCTGAATCTGTGAATTTTAGGAGTACGGTTTGTGTTAGCGGGAATAGGGTTGCTATTTCCGACTGATTTATCTAATTTAGTGCAACACCTAGCGATTGATTGGGTGGGATATAATCTTTGAACCTTTGTTGATAAAATGATTTACTGAATATGAATCGCTCTATTTGTAAAAATATCACATTGAAATGTTTATTTGGTGATTTTAAATGAAAGTGTTATCTTGCGTGATTGTGTTATTAAGTGATTAATAAGATACCAACTCCTCTACAAAATAAAGTGAATCCTTTTGTTATTCTTTTTGATGTTCAAAGGCTACAATTCTGGACATATGTTGTCATAGCATTTAGTCTGGGAAGAAAGCAATTTTAGATCAATTGTCCCCGAGGGGCTTCAAAGGCTCACAATGCCCCTTTTTAATAAGTTAGTTAGGACTTGCATGCATCTCCCCATTCGATAGGCTAAGCAGCTAGCACCTTGCCGGTCTTGGTTTTGTCTCAGCAGAGTGCGTGGATGGGACGCCGGGGAGGTGTCCCTTCCCCTGTAGGTACTACGGTTTATGCCACTTTCCATTACTATTTAAAAAAACAGATATAGATTTACAGATAGTGTTTGTCCAAGCAAATGCTCTTAGTTAGGTATATATTTTCAGTCAGTGTGTATTTTCTTTTATGCAACTCATGCTCTCGAGACTCTGACTGTTTCCATTTTTTCTAAGAAACACAGTCTCTGTTGCACTTATCTACAACATTTTACAATTCAGACTGAAATATAATTTTTTAATAAGTAAAATAACATAGTAATATTAAACCCCTCATTAATTAGTACTCCAATGTTACTGCATTATACATTTGTTCTTACATTGATATCACAACCTATTGAAAATTGTTCATGTGTTTTTGCAATATAGATTGAATCTTGAAGAACCTTTTTTTATAATGACTTGGTTCAAAATCATTATTACGGTGTATAAAATAATGTAATAATTGATTTCAGTCTCATGTTTGGAACCCGATCTTATTATCAATTAACTATTTTAATTGTTTCGTACGTTTAGAACCTTTTGCATTGTTACTCATTGTCAATTACCTTTTTTCCTTTTGACATTATTACAGGGTGCAACTTGCACAAATAGTGCTTCAAAGCTACAGTTTGGTCATAAGAGATTTTCCCAGTATGGGGCACTACTCGCACAAAAAGTGCGATTTAAGCTAGTACTCTCACAAAGACTTTACAAACTTTTTTGTGCCCATATCAAACGCAGGAACATTCCGCAATCCGCATACAATGCCAAGCTTGGTAAAACCATCACCAGGAGGAGCCAAATAGCTGAGAGACAGGGAGAAAGCTGTTTGATTCCACAATAAATGGAACCCCAACGCTACTTATTACTACGAACTTTAAGCAAATTCAAAGCATGTTTTCCCATGCATTGAAGCTATTCAAGCCCCTGATTTCTGTATCTCGTATTTGCTTCTCATCTATCTCTTTTCCCCTCTCATCAAAATCCACAATTGTCCATTTATCCTATGCGTTCCAAGGTGGGAATTTTGCCCCTTTGTTGCAGTCTACTTATGTTAATCAGAATCTTTTCTTTCTACGCTCAAAACCCACTTCAGCAATCAGGTTCTTTCAATGGTCTGAGAATGTTTTAGGATACAGCCATTCTTTATGCTCTCATTGTGCCCTTATCCATATTTTGCTCTCTCACCGCTTGTTTGGCATTGCCCACCAGGTGTTTGAGAAAATGCTTCAGAGGTACTGGGAGTGGGATGTGTTTGGTGCTCTTTGTGATGGGTTTGGGGCCTATAATTCAAATCCCAATACGGTTTATAGCTTCTTGCTTGCTGGGTATTGTCAAAATGGTGTGTTTGATAAGGGCATTGATGCTTTCTTGAGGATGTCGAAAACAGGAATTGACGTAGCTCCTCACGCATTGAGAACTATGATGGACTCACTGGTTGCTTCTCAGTGCATCAGTGCGATTGTGAGCATACTCGATGAAATTTGTGGTCAGTCTGGGAAAATGATAAAACAGGGGTTTAACTTTTATGCATTTCTTGCTATGAGTTTTGTTAATCACCATCTCTTTGAATTGGTATTGAATTTTCACCGAAAGATGATTGATAGAGGTATAATGCCAGTTATTTTCGATTGTAATAAGATACTGAAGGCTCTTTGTAAAGAGGAGACCTCTTTAGAAGCTGCCTCCCAATTCTTTCATACAATGTTAAAAGTTGGTCCAAGTCCTAATGTGGTGACATTTAGTACTTTGATTGACTCATATTGCAAAGCAAAGAGACTGGATGAAGCATTCAAGCTTTACCATTTTATGATGGCACGCGGTATATCTCCAGACTTGATTGTATATAGTATACTTATTGATGGTCTTTTTAAGAATGGAAAACTGGAAGCAGGGGTTCGCCTTCTCTCCGAGGCTTTGGAGAAGGGTGTCAAGTTAGATAGTGTTATTTTTGGCTCGATTATGGATTCGTTTGTGAAGGCGGGAGATCTGAAGAAGCTGATTGTGGTATACAATAGAATGCGTACTGAAGGTTTATCACCTGGCACAGTTACTTATGGCATTATAATAAATGGCTTATGCCAAGGTGGGCATGTACTTGAGGCTTGTGGGGTCTTTGGTGAATATGTGAAGCGTGGTTTGGAGCCATCTGAATGTGCCTACAGTTGCCTTATTGATGGCTTCTGCAAATTGGGAAATTTGAAAGAGGCATTTATCTGGTATCGAAAGATGCTAGAAAATGGCCTTCTTCCAGATCTCATCATTTATTCGATACTTGTTAATGGTCTCAGCCAACAAGGGCGGGTAAACGAAGCTCTTCAACTATTGTTTCAGGCTACCATGATGGGTATACAACTTAATGCATATATTTTTAATGGCTTGATCGATGGTTACTATAGATTGAGCCAGATGACAAATATGATGAGGCTGTATAATCTTATGCAAGTTAAGAACATACATCCTGATGTAGTGACTTATACTTCATTTCTCAAGCTCCTGGTTGATCAGGGAGAACTGGAGAAGGCTTTGGCTCTCTTTCTTCGAATGCTTAAGCAAAATGTCCCTTTAGATGCCATTGCATATTGCACACTGATGGACAGTTTCTGTCAGCTGAACAAAGCAAAAACTGTCATGTGGCTGTTTCAGCAAATGTTGAGGAACAAGGTGAGCCCTGACATTGCAATATACAATGTTCTGCTCAGAAGACTTTTCAAAGACTTCCAGTTTGATGATGCAATGAAACTTTTCCATAAGCTTGCTACCCACGGCCCCGAGCCTGACATTGTGACATTCAACACTGTGATATGTGGTTATTGCTTTTCAGATAAGCTGAACGAGGCAATTCAGCTGTATGAAACACTCTCGAACAGACCAGTTGGATTCACTGCCATCACTTTTAGCATTCTCATTGACGCCCTTTGTAAAAAAAGTAGGATAAATGAAGCTGTACAGATGTTTAGGAGAATGCTAGAAAAGGGCATTGAGCCTAATGTGGTTACATACAGTTGCTTAGTGGATGGATACTTGAAATTTCAGAGCATGGGAAGTGCCTTTGAACTACTGGAAGAGATGGCCAGAAACAAGATTGATCCCAACATTGTCAGTTATAGCATCCTCATGGATGGCCTCTGCAAAAGAGGATTAATAGATGATGCTTTGAGTACTTTTCAATCTGCCATTAGCAACGGCTTATTACTCGATGTTGTGGCTTATACCATTCTCATCCATGGATGCTGCAGAGTTGGGAGATTAACTGAAGCCAGAATTCTGTATCAAAGAATGCTGGTCCAGGGCATGGTACCCGATCATGTGTTACAGAGAGTAGTTGCAGACTATCTTGGGGCTCAAAGTATGACCACCTACAAGGAACTTTCGTTTTAGCAATTACATCCAGGCTCAAATTGCTAAAGCTCAGTACTGCCTAAGGCAGTTTGATGTAGTTGAAGTAAATTTCAAGAGGTTTTAAGAAACGATCAATACAGAATCGATGACATGGATATGTATTCCAATGTGCTATATGCTAAGGAATGTTCTTCTACTTTAAGCTACCTTGCCCACCAGGTGATTTTGATAGATAAATATTACTTCAACTTCATCAAGAGTCAGTCCTGTTGCGTTATTGGAAACTACTACAATTTGAAGGGACAACATCAGAAGTCAGTCCTGTATTTTCAGAGGGATCTGAAATTGAATAAAAATTATTTGTCATCATGGACGCTAATGGGTCATGAGTATATAGAAATGAAAAGCATCCCAGCAGCAGTTGATGCATATAGGTGGGCCGTGGACATAAGTCCATGCGATTATCGAGCATGGTATGGGTTAGGGAAAGCATACGAGATGATGGGAATGCCCTTGTATGTGCTTCATTTTTTTAAGAAGTCGGTGTTTTTGCAACACAACGATTCTTGTCTATGGATTGCCAATTGCCATGGCCGAATGTTACAAAACAGAGAAACTCAATATGCATGAGGAGGCAATCAAGTCTTACAAAAGGGCAGCAAACTTGAATGATAGCAAAGCAATTGCACTTAACCAACTGGCAAAATTATATTTTCAACTAGGCCGTTCTGAAGAGGCAGCATTTTACTACAAAAACCATTTAGAGAGGATGGAATCTGAGGAGAGAGAAGGATCCAACATAGTTGAAGCCATGCTCTTTCTTGTCAGATATTACAAGGATCAGAGGAGATTCGAAAGAGCATAGGTCCATTGTCTCCGTCTTCTAGACTACAAGAGCCCTGTAAGTTACATTCAACTTCTTTGTTGAATTAGAAAATTTGAGAAAATGCAGCCAATAAATACTTCACTTTGCAAATAATACCCTAATATGAAAAAAAATCCTAATGAACCAGCTGTAGTGTTTCTTTCCTCTCAATTGAACCATTCCACTTTAAAATTCTTGAGTAGTGTACAGCCAGTTCTCTCTTTTTTTTCAAGGAGTATTTGAAAGTTGAGACATGAGAGCATGAAATTACTATGTGATGACTATTGTTGTTGATGGTACCGGAACTAAAGAGGAAACGAAAAAAAACTATTAGGCAAAGCAACATAACTCGATATATTGAACATCACTTCTTTAGTTTTCATTTTTTTTCCCTGAATAAGTTATCTTAGTCATTAAAGTATTCACTTTGTTTCTTAGTCTTCAAAAGCATATAAGTAAAGAACAAAAAGTACTAACGTTAAGGGTGTCCATAGTTTTGGTTCATCAGCCGTCAATGCTTGGAAGAACACAAGACATTTAGGGTGGAAGTGACACTTGGTGGTTCAATTAAAAGCACAAAAACATTAAAGGTGATTCATTTTACATATATATATTTTAGGGGATTATTGCCAAACAATGATTTTTGTCAGCTTTTTCTCTAAATTTTCCGTTGAATTAGGCTAAATTTCCCAATTCCTTCACACAGACACAACACAGACACAAACACTGTTACATATAGAACAGGCTCACTATGGTTTATGAGCTTCTTTGTGAAGGAAACTTGGGAACTTAGGCTGCACTGTAGCACTTGTTTTCCATCAAAATGCTACTTTGCTCCAATTCTTGCTCCCAACATTTCCCCATCTTGTCTGTGTGAAATCGTGTTTGTGAGGTTGGGTGCAAGGTTGGGGCATTGTTGTACTGTCCTTATTTACTTCTTTACTCTCCCTATTTTTTTTAGCCCCCCTGACACCCGACCCCTCCCCTCCCCCGGGGTGATTTTAAACTGGAAAGTACTTTTATTTGTGGTCTTCAACATCTTTGTTATTGAAACAGGAGATAGAACTGGCTAAAACTCTCCTTTGAGGAATAAGGGATGAAATGGACGTTGAGCATGTTCCACCCTAAGGGCGTATTTGCATTGGAGGGATTTGGAGGGAAAGACTGGTGTGTTTGCATCTTCATTTGTATTTTAGATTATACATAAATTGGAAGATCATTGTCTCCCCTAACATTAGAAGGCTCAATAGCGCTATTTCCCACGGTTATAGTCCTTTTTTCCGTTTTGTTTAGTGTTAACGGTGCCCAATATCTGGCATCCCTGTCACTATATCGTTGTGTGTGGCTCTATTGTTTCATCCGTATAATTGGCATTTGATCTTATTACTGTTTTTGCACTTTTTCTCATCATTTTTTTGTTCTATCTTGAAACTTGATTACCACAAATTATGCAATATGGATGATTTAGATTTTTCCGCTATCTCTGCAAGGTAAACCACGATACACTAATCTGGAATTTTTCTGAAATTTGGATTTATGGCCTTATTTTTTCCCCCTATTTTACTCCTAACACAAATTCCCCTGTGCAAATTTTTGGGGGAATCCAGAGTTAGTGGTGTGTGGTTATTGGGACTCGATTTACAAGAAAATCAGGTTAGTAAATGATAAAATATTCCCAACATTTGATGTTTACTTCCTGATTTTACCTTTTAAATATGAGTTCATTGATTTCAAAGCGAGTCATATGCTGTTTTGCTCTACATAAAAATTAGGATAAAGCTATTTTGTACCCCAAACTTTTGTACCCCATTTGTACACCGCAGGTTTGCACCGACATTTTGTGTTGGTGTAAAACTAATTTTTGTTAACGCATCAATTTCGTGTCCGTGTAAATTTTTGTTAACGTACCAACACTTGTGTCGGTGTAAACCATCAAAATGTTTGCGTATAACTGTGATGTATAAATGAGGTACAATTTTTGGTGTAAGTGTAGTATGGTCCTAAAAATTAAGCTCATACCTTCCCGTGAACAACAAAAAGTGCATTTCAATTACTATTTGCCTATTTGGCGTTAGCTTTTTTGTTTTATCTTTTCAACGTGGGTTCTTGTGTGGTAGTTGCTGCATAGATATTAAGATCATAATTATTAAGGAGTAAGAGTTAGAAAATAGGCCTGCTTGATTTTTTCAGGTTTTAAAACTTTAAGTTCTTATTTGAACTAAGAGTGCTTCTATGGTCCACCTTGGATGCATATTATTTTTGTAGACTTTCTTACATAAAAACTATTTTTTTTATTTTTGTTTTTTATTTTTTTAAAAAATGCTCATCTAAGTAGTAAGAAATTGCTTATTTGAGTCATATGTAGATTCACCTTAGAATATGTCTTGAAAACTAATTGAAAACATTACACAAATCTTATTGAACTCTATAGCATTTATTTTCAAAAAAAGGTTGTACCTCTTCTCAAAGTGATACCTAAAAGTTCAATTCCAACGATAAGATCAGTAAAAGAGGAAAATATACCTCTTCAAAGAATTTTATTTTAAAAAACTTTTCATTGTTGAGGTTTACGAGGAAAACATATATTTGGATCACATTCAGACCTCATTCCCTTGCTTTCAATCACATTTACAGTCTCTCTTATTTCAACCTACCCTTCCCTACCTTTTCAACCACTTAACCTTCTCATCCCTCCTTTTTTTCAATCACTTTTACAGACTCTCCTACTTCAGCCACATCACATCCAATTTGCCTTAATCTCTACATTTTTCATTTGTGCCTTTAATTTTGAGGTGGAAGGAGTATATACATACCCAAGGTGTGGTTCATGTGCAGTGATGGATATGAGGTCAATGGACCAGGAGGACAAAAAATTCCACTATCGCGGCCCAAGAAGGTTAAGGGTGCTCGACATCCATGAGTAAAGTATGGTGGGCCGAATAATATGATCAAGTGATGAGCTAAGCTCAACCCACTAATCAGACCGCACAATGCAGGGAAAGGAGATTCCACTGATCATGGGTAATTAGCCAATTAGCCTGATATTGAAGCGCACAAATTACATACTAAATAAACGATGATGTTAGACTATAAATAGGAGGCATTTTTCTCCATTGTGACCCAGACTGAAACATGCTAAAATACATATACAAAAGTTATATATTCAATCTGTATTATTCTTATTTACATATAAGTTCTTCGTGCCACCATAGTTGTTGGACTAAATCTCAACACTGATGCTTTAATGGAGAGATATTGACTCTGAGAAAGATGCTATGAAAATATGGATGGGTGAAGAACAATGAATTCTAAACGTAATGCTGCCAACTCGCAGTACTCGTCCGTCGGGGCAAGGATGTATGAGCAACAAGCCCTCGTTCAAACCAATGAGCTAGAAATGGCTCTGAACAATATCGATGACATGATGGCGAATGTCATGGATAGGTTGGAGCGAGACCTTCCGGGTCCTTCTAGGATCCCACATGACCTGGTTCGACAGACAAGTCAGACCCTAGAGACGGCCAGAGGGCAATCTTGTCATATTTTGCATGAGCTTCGTAACCTTGAGGAGATTGAAAGGTAAAGGGAGGTGATTGATAGGCGCTTGGAAGAGGAGTTAGCTCGAAACAATATGGATAATCGCAATAGACCCCGGACAACAAATAGGGCGTCGGCAGGACTCTGGGCTACTAGCCAGCAACATAATGTAAAGACTAGGAACCCGAGGGCTATGTTTTAAGGAAAAGAGAAAAGAGCCAGTCAAACAAAGGCGGGAAGTTTGCCAAGTCATATGAAGGCATGTATATTATCAAAGCGGTTTTGCGCCCGAGTACTTATAAGCTCATGAAACCCCAAAGGGGAAGGAAATAGATAGAACTTGGAATGTTGAACACTTGGTTAGGTTTTATCAGTAATTCCAATGTAACCCTTCATTATTATTAATAAAGTGCCAAGTGTTGTTGCAATATTTTGTCTTGCAAAAGGGGGACGGAAGGGGTACCCCCGGGTAAGTAAGAGAATACAGGGGCGTAGAAAAGTTTTATGCCACCTGCTAAAGATAGGAGAGGTAGAAAAGATTATGCATCTGGTCAGCTCACCTTCGTTTTATGCCACTTGCTAAAGATAGTTTCTACTAACCCATGTTTAGCGACCTGTCTTGCCTGTAACTATTCAATATCGCTCACCATCGACTTACGTGATTTTCTAGCTACTAAAAATGTAGCATTTGCGCGACTTTTAGTCCAAATCACACAATTAAGAGTGCATTTCCCAGAAAATCAAATTAAAAATATTCGCATGGATAATGCAGGAGAATTCACATCCCAAGCTTTTGATGATTATTGTAATACCCCGTATCAAGATGGGAATGAGAAGAGCTCAAAAGGATTGATAGTACTACTCATACCAACAAGGTGCATCTTCTTTTCGAGAGCTCATCACCTAGAAACTCTAAAGTTAAGCGTGCTTGACATGGAGCAATTTTAGGATGGGTGACCCCCTAGGAAGTTTTCCTTGGGCACACACGAGTGAGGACAAAGTGTGCGGGAAAGACTTGTGTTGGTTTGTGGGGCCAGTCTACAATCCTATGAGCGGACACTTACGGCTAGGGTGGGGGCCGGGGTGTTACAATTATTGTATGTCAATTGGGAAAAATGTTGAACATCTAGTAGCTCATGTTCTTACACAAAATGGTTTAGCTGAATCATTAATTAAAAGATTACAGTTAATTGTTAGACCGCTTCTAATGAGAAGTAAATTTCCACCTTCGACATGGGGGCACGCTATTTTACACGCTGTTGCACTGATGATCAAGAATACTCCCCACTTCAACTGGTCTCCGTAAGAGAACTAAATCTGTCCCATTTTAAAATATTTGGTTGTGCAGTTTAAGTCCCAATATCGCCACCACAACGTACCAAAATGGGACCCCAGAGAAGATTGGGCATTTATATTGGTTTTAACTTCGCGTTTATAATTAAATATTTAGAAGCATCGACGGGAGATATGTTTACAGCACGGTATGCAATATAGCACGTTTTATGTTTTCATCGAACATATCACTAGCGGTTCCGTACACAATCTGATAGAGCGTGCTGGTACACTTTTGGACATTGCTAAAACTGTGTTGGCCACTCGCATCAAATCGTTGGGTGAACATAGGCACCCCGTGTTCAATATCATGTAGTATTCGTAAAAACAAAGAACGACTCATCCAAAAATGATTAGTAAAATCATACGGTTGTAAACACATGGAGTATTGAAGTAGTTCTTGAATAGGGCAGTTGCCTGATCATGGTTTAAACGCTAGCATCGAGTCGAGTGCATTGACGATTATGCTTCCTCTTGTTGTGCTTGTTGCCACCCCTGGTAACATCCCGTTGAGAAAGAACGAAACATGAGAGCCCTTCTATCTTTGTCAAATGAAGATGATCCATTTTTAAAAAGATGTATATGATATTTTTTGGGTGGGTTGTAGAGAGACTTGAGAATATAGAATACTTTTTGGATGAGTTATAGAAAGATTGAGTGTATGTTTGTATTTTTTGAGAGGGTATTTATAGTTGTAAATTGATTTAAAAAAATCCCAATAGCTTGATTTTGGACCGTTGGGAGGGGGTGGGCAACGACTTCTTACTCTTCCTTTCACGTAGGGCTGGGTCGGGAAAACCGAAAACCGAACCGAAATCGATCGGAACGAGCTAGAAAAAAAACCGAACCGAAAAAACAGAAACTGAATGTAGAAAAACCGGACCGAACCGTTATTGTTTGGTTCCGTTTTGGTTTTTACTTTGAAAAACCGAACCGAACCGAATAAACCGAACTTATTTATATGCTTCATTTTATTTATATGGGTATATGTGATATGTATAAAAATCATATAAACAAAAATGCAAATAAATTACTAGTCGATTAAAGTTTTTTCTTAACTATTAATTAAACATTTTAACCATATTATAAACTTTAAAAAATCTAAGAATATAAACACCAATAACTAATCCTAATATAGAATTATATAACATTAAAAATTAAAATGAGTAGTTAACATATTTACATAAAAACCTTTGATGTTATAATGAAAATGAAAATATTATATCAAAAAAATACAAATTCTTTGCAATTGATTTTACATACGATATCTTTACGATTATTTAGAATCTTCTAGATGCTTGTTAGGCACTTGACACATATTTTGTATGTAAAATTGAACCGATGAGAACACTAACCTTCTGTTCGGTTTCTTTTTTGTGTAAAAATCAAGCAAAAAAACCAAACCCAAACTTACGTATTGTTATTGCTTCGTCGGGTTAGTATTTATACAATTTTTAATGCTTATAAATATTTACTTTTATAAACCGAAAAAACCGAAAAAAACCAAGATAAAAACCGCATAAAACCGAACTGAATAACCAATGGTTTACATATTTTTTATGCAAAACCGAAACGAACCGAACCGCAACTTACCTTCCGTTTTGTCTTTGGTTTTGGGTAAAAACCGAACCGCCAAAACCGAACACACCCCTACTTTCACGCATTAAACGTTTAATGGAATGAAGGTGACACCCTAATAAGTAATAACAACGCACCTGGCAGTGTTTAACGCTCTCACGGTGTTAAACATCCAATGACACCCTGGGCGTTAGACGTATTTCCAGTGCCCTAACCTTCTCACACAAAATATTTTACATTTTATTATTTAAAATAGATTCCATTTGCTATAGTAGATATTAATTGGGAATAGTTTGATACAAAATGTGCATTAAAAATAAAAAAATAATTATTTCAATCACAGTTTCAAACTCATTTCCAGTGAAACTGTGAAGGTTGAAGCCCAAGTTTGAAACGATGTCTTCGAAGCTATTTGACATTTGGTCCACCTTCTACTCCTCAATAAATGGGTACCTATATCATACATCGAGTAATTAAGTACTCATTTTAGAGTAACAACATACTAATTCTCAAATATAACTAAATTTTAGAAAAACAAGTACTCAGTTACTTGAGAATAAATATTTATTTACTCCAAAATGAGGGTTCACTTATTCACTTCATACTAATTCCTAAATGAGAATAGAAACAAAATACAACCCCCGCCCGTACAATATATATTGTGGATAAACAAAAAATAATCTTCTTCAACTAAACTGGCTGGTTTTACAGTGTATATCCATCCATTGCTCATGCCCTTCTGCAGCCAAACACCTAGAATTTCTAGGGATCGATGATATCCCCGCATCAATTTCTGCTGCGCTTCGCCGCCGCTAGACAATCATCCCGCTCCACCGTTCCTGCCACTGCCTATTTAAGAAAACATTGCTTCCCACCCCCCTCCGCATCTTCATATTCAACTCTCAACCGTTCCATTCACTCTTCCAGCTCTCCGTCTCCCTCAGCCTTGTCCTCTTCAAAGCCGCTTAGTGCTGTAGCCTCTGAAAACTCGGAGACAAGTTCTGATGATGATAACAACGGTTGGGATGGTACGCTATTCTTTCTGGCTGTTCTCTCTTGTTTTCTTTTGGGTACAATCGCATTGGGTTTCGATACATGATGCTTATTGGGTGGTATTAGTTTATTCTGCACTAGTTGGCGTTATCTTGTCCTTTGTATTAGCTCTCCCGTGACAAGGAGGATTGAAGTTGAAGGTGTGCTTAATTTTGCTCTTTCATACATAACAGTGTACCGTAGAACAACTTCATAAAAAATGCTATCTAGAGAAATATCATCCTTATTGAGTGGTACGTATTGTTGTCTATGCAGTTTGCAAATTTTTCTGAAGTTTTGATTGTGAATACAGATCGTATATCACACAATTAGGTACACATGCAAGCTAAGAAACACAATTTTTTAATTGATTTCATCAAAGAAGATAAAAACTAATCTGCCATTGAGGCCTCACATCTGAAATTGGGCTTTACTATTTTTACACATGTCAGTCGAAAAGTAATTTAGAAAGTTTATTAGCTACAGGTAGCTATTGGCAAACCTATAGCTTTCTGTTTTGTTTGGATTTTTCTACATGGAATGCTCTGTTCCATGTACCCCCATGTGCATGATGTTTAAATGGCCTAGTTAACCGGTGAACTAATTTCCTCAGTCAATTTGTATTTCATTGATTTTTGCTTATGATTCTGCTTTTTATTAAGAGAAATTATATTTGGCTGCAGATGATGTAGATCCAGTTTCGGTTTATTCACCAAACACACCTGCAAATAATGACTACAAGTCTCTGAGAAATGCTCTGGATGTACCATGGGTTTCAAGAATTTCTCGTTTTGATGCAACATCGTGTCTGAAGGAACCTTCACGAGAAAGGAAACAAAAGAAGATGTATAATATTAGTCAAAAGACTCGTTTAGATTGTATGACTAATTTGAGTGACAAGAAAATGGGGTGGGAAGATCCGTATTTGGTGAATTCATCTGAATCACAAGGGACTAGTGATTACAAGTCTCTGAAAAATGTTTTGGGTGCACCACAGCTCTCTAACATTCCACTTAGTAATGTATCATTGTTGTGTACAAAGGAAGTTTCTCGTGTACGGGAACACAGATGGGCTTATAGGAGTAGTCAAAAGGCTTGTCTAGGTGGCTTAATGGATTTGTCTGCCAAGAAAACAGAGATGGAAGATTCAGGCTCAGTCAAGTCATGTGAGTCACAAATGACTACTGTTGACAAGTCGCATGAAATCTTTTGGGGCGTACCACGGATCTCTAGCAAATCGCATGATAATGTAGCATTGTGTCGAAAGGAAGTTTCACAAGAAAGAAAACACAAATGGACTTGTAAAAATAGTCAAAAGACTCGTCTTGATAGCTTAATTGGCTTATGTGCAAAGCAAATGGGGACGGATGTTACAAATCTTGTGTTTGGTAAACTGAGGAGAAAGATTAGTCTGAAGGAGTATAATACAATAATAAATCTTTGTGTTGAAGAAGCAAGGAAGATGGGTACTGTAGAGGAGTCAATGGATCAACTTTCCAAAGCTTATACATGCCTAAAAGTGATAAAGGAGCGTGGGTTCCAATTAAAAGAAGAGTCTTATGGTCCAATTCTTATGTTTTTCATTGATTTTTGCATGGTTCCTGAGTTCCAATTTTTCTCTGAAATCATTAGAGATGGGAATATGGTTTCTCTCCCGAAATTAGCTTACTATGAAATGTTGCTATGGATAAAAATTGATAATCAAGATAAAATAGATGAGCTCATCAGTTCTCTTGCCCTTCATCACGGTGAAGACAAATATGCTTTTCAAGGTTTGAAACTTAACTGTGGCTCCATAGCTCATTTTGAATAAGTTTACATATTTTGGTTATTTGAGCTACATTATTCATCTTAAACATAACATTTCAAACTTACCGAATTAGGTATGGAGTTTTTGTCAAATTTTTATTTGAATGTGTCTTCCCTCTTTATTCATTCACAGGCTTGATAATGACTGTTGTGTACTTGCATAGTTGCATTTCTTACATTCTGATTCCATACCCTTTAGTACTTACTTGTGTGCCTGCGCACGTATGCATTAGGAGGTGGGTGGAGGGGATGCTATTACCTACTACATTATATTTAGTAAGGACTATTAGACTGAAATGGTGATTGCATGTAATGAAACGTGTTTGGTTAAATCATTTTTAGCCAAACATGTCAAAGGCTACTTATTTTGATTATTTTACTAGCAAGAAAATGTCTATTAGTGCTACATAACTGGGCCTTAGTATGAATATACAGTTGCATCTTTCATTAACTTTTTTATTAATAAATTTGAAGTTTTTAAACCCATAATGAAGTAGTGTAATTTTAATCTGCATGATATGTTTACAAGGTACTATTTTCTTATAGTTTTATATGTTAATAAATGAGCTAGTTATGCGTAAGAATCAGATGCATTTCATACTTAAGTTCTAGAGATGACATGATTGATACAGTTTCTTTCTTAACTGTTAAAAATCATTCTAAACTATCTGTAAACTCTCTTCATTTTGGCTCTATCTTTTGATATATGGGCAATAGTAAAAACCACTTATGCACCTTAAAATTTCAAAAATGTTGCAGAGAATTATTTGCTTGCATTGTGTAATAGCAACCGAAAACAGGAGTTCCTGAGGCTATTAAAAAGTACTGACGTAACTAAAGTTTCATCCTTGAAAACCCTATCTTCTATCTTCAGCTCACTGGGAAAGTTAATGCTGGATAAGTTTGCAGAGAAATGCTTTCTGGATCTGAAGAAGACAGGTACACCGTACTATTTTATCCTGCTTGAAGTGGTGTTCATGAAAATATTCCCAAATTTATATGTGAGGAGTAGAAGAATACTATTCCTTAGATTCATAGAGAAAATAGAAGCAGGATCATGTAAAAAATTGCATGTAGCGCATGGAACTCAAAAAGTCTAAATTTTATTTTTATTAACTTAATACACATGCCTAAAGTTGAAAGACCAACCCATAAAAATTAAACCTAGAAGTGTATTACTCATTTACTTCTCTTCCACTTCTCTCCTCTCAGTTGATCCCACCCGATTCTAATTGTCAGCAGCACATGATGTGAGTACTAAGTAGAGTCCAAATTTTCCATAAATGGTGTGGGAGAAGGAATACTATGGCAAATGGAATCATAAAATATTTCATGTAAGGTGCAAAATTCGAAAAAAGGTGTATTGCATCCATGAGACATTTTCCCCTCAAGGCATAGGCATATTGAGACGTAAACCTCAAATTCTAAAGCATCTTAGTCATAGTTATCAGAGCGTCAAGTTGAGGCACGACGCTAGGATACTGCTAGGATACTGCCAGGACGCGTAGTCGACTAGGTGACCGCCTAGGTGACACATAATATAGGAGAATTGCTATACATTAAAAACTCTAATACAAATATATCAAATTATATATTGTAGTTGATAAAGTTTAAATTTTTCTAATACATCAAAGTTAACTACCAAAGTTACTTTTTGGTACTTTTCTCAACAAAAAAACCAAAGTTGAAAAAAAGTTTTACCGATTTAAAATGGGAATAAATCAATCATATAAACTTTAGAAAAATTAAGCATCAATTATTAATTAGGAAGATAAAGTAGAAAAAGACATTCAATTGGAAATAAACTAATTTATAAAGCATTAAAAAAAAGCACTGGAGCTGGGGGTATAAAACACTTAAAAAAAGCACTAGAGTAAAAAAAGGTACTGGACAAGGTGAGGCTAAGGCGATGCCCAGGCGAGGCCAAGGCGAGGTATGCAAAATAAGGCGAGACGAGCTCCAATGGCAAGAGTAGAAGGGCACCAGGATGCCTAGGCGACGCCGTAGTACAACAACAACAACAACAACCCAATTGAATCCTACAATAGTAGGGTCTGGGGAGGGTGTGTGTGTTACCCCTACTTGGAAGTAGAGACACTGTTTCCAAAGAGACCCCTGACTCAGTGTCGAACGTTGCATTGATTGACTAACTGCTACTTAATTAAAAAAGAAGGGCGGACAATTCAAAGATCTATTTTAGTACCAAAAGTGATAGACATTAAAAAATTGTTGCAAACCACCGTTTATGTTTGACTATTTTTGAATTGAAAACATCTTTTAATTTTTTTGAAACTACCTTTTCAAAAAATAATACAGAGTATGTAACATGAAGGGTGGTTTGCTAAAATTAATTATTTTTAAAGGTGGTTTTGAAAAACAAAACTCAACATTAAAGTTTTTGTCTTAAAACATTTTTTAAATGGCGGTTTTTTAACTAGCCATTCATAAAAGACGATTCATCAAAAATTTAATTAAATGTGGTTTCTTAAAAAATAGAAAACATAAAATTTGGTTTCTCGAAAAATTTCCTATAAATATTCCATTTACAAAACGCAACAACAACAAGGTATTAAATAATAAAAATATTGCCCCAAGTTGTACTGAAAATTTCAAACGACAAAACATAAAAATTATGAGTATAAGACAAATATGACTTGAGACAAGTGGTTTATTTTTCCTTAGTCCTTATTCTTTTTAACTCATGGGTCTCAGTTGTAAGGCCTTTAAAAGGATGAGAACTTATAACAAATCTACCACGTATCTTGATTCATATTTGTTTTATATTTTTTTTCTCTTTTGCTGTTTGAGTGTTTTATATACAACTTGAGGAAATAACTTGTAGTATTTTGTAAATGGGTTATATGTAGGAAATTTGGTGAGAAACCACATTTTATGTTTTGAATTTTAAGAAACCACCTTTAATACAATTTTATAATTAAGCATCTTTTATGTTTGGCTTCTTTTAAAGAGTACCTTTTTAACAAATATTGTTAGGAAACCATCTTGTATGTTGAGTTTTGTGTTGCAAAACGACCTTTTAAAATAATTAATTTTTAACAATCCACCCTTTATGTTACATGCATTGTATTATTTTTTGTAAAGGTTGTTTAGAAAAAAATAAAAGGTGGTTTCTTTAAAAAAGTTAATAAGCAAAAGGTGGTTGGTGGCAAAAATTTCCTTTTTATTTTATAATTTTAGTAATATATGTTACAATGTTTTTGAACTAGAAGAGTGAGACTTGTGCCTCAATATGCCTTGAGGCTTACGTCTTGAAGGGATAAAACCTCACGTATGCCTTTTCGACCTTTGCCCCTCTATGATTAGTCTTGGTATAATTGGGAAGAGATATATTTCCATCTTTTGAATATATAGATGAGTTTTATATGCAGAACCTCCTTCACGCTATTTGTGGAATATTTTAAAACATAGTGTCTTCGTTTTTGCACACCAAACATGGAAAATTTCATGAATTCCATTCATTATAGTATTCCTTCTTCCATGTCATTTATTGAAAATATAGAGGACTCTGCACACATCGGATCATCTCCCCTTCAATTTTGTTTGATCTTCATTTCCTTCACGCCTTCAAGACTCCAGCTTCAACCTTCAATGGTGAGAAAATGCAAAAATCCTAGTGGAATCCTTTCACTAACTCATCATCTTCTTCAATACCATAAGGTAAATTATAGTCTCAACCTTCGTTTTTATTGTTTTTTGTTGTTTCATACTTTTAATTTGTTTTTTAGTTTTATTTTTCCTGTTGTTTTGTCAATCAGGTTGTTTGCTAGTTCAAGTTTTTTATTTTTTAAGTTTTGTCGCTACACTCTGATCCAAAATTATCGGTCATCACATTGCCTATGTCGCAGCAACCATCCCTCACTCCGATTGGATCATTTGGATCCATGGCTGAGCCGCCATCCCCAGCGTCATGCCATTAAAGAATAGGAATAAATATTTCATATCGTACTCCATATTTTTTTATTTTTAAATTAAATCTTGAGATTTTACCAAAAGAATTTGCTGACCATCAGTATTGCCCATTGGAAGAAGAAAGGGAAAGAACAAGCAAAATTGCAGAACATCAGAACCCCTCCGATCTATGATTTCCAACTTGCTTAAAATTTGAGATTTCCTTCATTTCTCTTCTCAAGCATCTTCGTGTAACTAGGTCTTTGACAAAGAAGAATTGATCAAAGCTCAAGAAATGTCCTAATTTGAAAAGAGTAAAATCACATGTGAGTGAGCCCGAAGCTAAAGAGACAACATCAAATTAGATCTGCTTCTCTCTATCTCGATCTCCTTTGTAAAGTAGTAGCAGCCCAGCACAATTTAGTTGAAGAAAACTCAAATTTCTGGTACAGTGTAGCACGCAATCTCCATTCGTCTCTTCTCAAAGATGACAAGGAGAGATGAAGGGATGCGAAGAGTGAAAGGAGAGATAATTAAGATGCAAAGGAAACTGGCCAAGAGAGAGAAATGAAAGTAATTAGCGAGGCGGATAGGATGGAGAGTGGAGACACGATAGAGCTTTAAGCCATTTATGGAAATGGGAAGATAATTCTAGGACATCTCGAAAAGGAAAATGGGAAGATAATTTTAGGATAGAGGGAGTATAAGAACTCTTGAACACCCACAAGGGTGCATTCTTTTTATCCAAAATCAATTTGTTACACTTTTAATTGGGTGATCTTTTTCTTTTTAATAATGTAGTTTAATTATTTTTATTGCTTTATTCACATCATTCTTTTGTACATTGTTCGAGTGAGTACTGTGTGACTTTGCGCGCATTTTCTTTCTATCTCTTTTTTAATTCTTTTTGCTTAATAATCTCGGCCTTTCTTTTTTTTGCTTATTAATTTCAGCTATTCCGTTTGATATTCTGTGTGCATGGATTTCTTGGCTCTGCCATTGATTTTACGACTTGCTTTTTGGATATTTGTTAATTAATATGTTGCCTTTTCCTTCTATTAGGTGCTTGGATTTTTGTGTGACTAATGTGTTCTTAAATGTTGGATATTTTATGTACATAAATTTTTAGTACTTTTAAAATATTTCTTGAGAGATTGCTTAAATGTCAAACTCAAGGATGAAATGTAACATTTTTTTATCAAATTCGAGGAAAACAATGGATGAAATGCAACATTTTTATCCTAAATTTAAGCCTTTATAAACCAGTGAATTTTTTCTCTATTCGTTAAATTAAGTTTATCACATTTAGTCAATATTTTGTATTATTTCATGCTAAACTTTGTTGCATTTGAGACCTTTTACTTTCTCTATATACTCTTTAAATGTTTTTGGATTAATTATGTTATTACTAATGTTCTTTCTTTAATCGTGATAGTATTTTATGCACATCTTGGTAGTTGATACTTTAAGATGAGGCTTACGCTTTGAGGGATATGCAATATGCCAACGAAAACATGCCTCATTGCTTTTGTATAACTATCCGGTTCTCTAGGGAGGGCGTGTGTATGCACACCTTACCCCTACTTAGAAGTAGGGAGGCTATTTCCAAGAGACTCTAGCTCGAGTAACACATGCAACATATTAAGCATCAAAAGCAGAGAGCAAACTAAGCTTAACAAAGGGAAAAAGCACCAAGCAAAGAAAACTCAGATCACAAGTGTAAAAACAACCACCAAACCCAAAAGCCTACTCGACTACCCTAGTTTTCGTTCTCCACACGTTCCTATTTAAGGTTATATCTTCCGTAAATGCCAGGAGTGTTAAGTCTTAAGTAGTCACCTCCTTTAATATCTTCCTAGATCTACCCCTGCCCCTGCACCCGCCCACCACCATAAGTAGGGTTGTAAAGTAGTCACCTCCTTTAAATTCTTCCTAGATCTACCCCTGCCCTTGCACCCGCCCACCACCATAAGTAGGGTTGTAAACGGATAATATCCGCAATAGATATGGCATATCCGAATCCAAATCCAGTTAAGTTTTTGGATATCCAAATCCAAATCCGTATCCGTATGTCAGATATTTACAATTGTATATCCAAATATGTAATTGACGGATAACTCCCAATTTCAGATATATCTGGATCCGATTACATATCCAAAACCAACCAAATATCCGAATCCAACTGAATATCAATGTTTTCAAACCCAGATAAAACCAGACGACCCGACCGATCGAACCATGACCCGTCGACCGGATTGACCTGGCTAGGCAGCAGGTTATAGACCGAAACCACTTTTTTTAACTTTGACAAACAAAAATGTAAGATTGGGGTAGAGGGGCTTGAACCCAACACTTCTAACCTTAAAATTCAAAGTTGTGGCCATGTGAGCTAATCAAACCCTAAATAATATATATTTGTTTCTTAATAGATGCCGCACTCTAATTTTTTTAACCAAATAATCTACATGTAACTGTAATGCTTTGTATTTTTTCTTTAAATAAGCTTCGTATTACTTATAATTATAAGCACACTTATGCTATGTGATAATATTTTATTACCTTTAAAAGTAGTGCAAAAGACTTGGCTTAATTTTTTTATTTAAACATAAATATGAATATTTTATGCCTAGCTATGGGTCGTCGACCTGAGTCCATCCGGTTTGACCGGTTGACCCTTGACCCAATTGCTAGTTCGGTTCAACATCCAGTCCGTATCCGTTTAGTAATCGGATGTTCTTAATCGGATACAAATAATATCCATTTAAAATGGATGCAGATTATTCCCGTTTAAACGTATACGGATGCAGACGGTAATTCCCGTTTAAACGTATACGGATGCATCCATTTAAAATGGATGCAGATTATTCACTGCAACATGCAGTTGTCGAACATGGGTCTTCTTAACCACCCAGCACTTCGCACCTTACAACATAGCTGGTCTAACTATGGATCACTACGGATCAATAGAACTTCCCTTTCATCCGAGATCAAATCTTCTAGTTGCATAAAACCCTTGAAGCCAACCTCCACTTTGCCCAAGCTGCTCCAATTTAATGGGAAACATCTATCTAATTCCCCATTTGCCTCGATGGCTGAACAAGGATATCGAAACTTGTCTCTCTTAAGCATTGGGAGAGATCAATCCTAGCTTCCACCTCTTTGATTCCATCACTCAGTTGTTGAAGCATCATTCCATGTATTTAGTCATAGTCATACTCAATCTGAAACCTTTGGACTCTAGGAACAGTGCCAAATCTCTAAGTTTTCATTGAGTCCCTAACGTGTCTCGTCGATTAGCACAATATTGTAAGGAAAAACCATGCACGAGGGCATGGTTATCAAGACAACAAGTCGAGTTGAGCCACTGAAGAAGAGACTAGTGGACTAGTCGAATAGTCAGCCTACAAGTCCTAGACTAGTCAAAAAATCACAATTGGTAATGAATTTTTTGAAATTATATATATCACCATTCACCAACTCAATTGGCGCCCCTACGGTGCTCCGATCCCAAAATTGACGGTACCTACCCTCCTTAACCAAACAGTAAACCTCCTAGCCTGGCTGTCCCTAACGCACCCCCGACCCCTCCAATTGCACCCCCGCGTTGAGCAGGACATTTTTTGAAAAAGCTGCTTCTTAAACTTTGCTAAAATGTGGGTCGAGTCGGGTAAGGTAAAATTTGGTAGGGTGACAAACACAGATTAGGTGGTGAATAGGCGATGCTTAGGTGCTAATTTGCACAATCGGACTTGACTGTGTCTAAGTGCCAACCCTTAGTGTAACTACACCTCTAAGAGAATGGCTCTAGTCACCCCGATTGTCTTTATCACCTCCTGCCAATTCTTCCTAGATCTACCCTTTTCCCTACTCCCGCCCACCACCCCACCACCGTAAGCATTTCACATCTCTACACAGAAGCCTCAAAACACCGTCACCACACATGCCCAAACCACCTCAACCCAGCTTCCCATAACTTATCCTCAACAGATGTCACTCTTACTCGTCCTCGCATAACCTCATTCTGATTCCTATCCAATCTTGTCAGTCTACTAATCCATGGCAACTAGGGGTGAGCAAGGACCAAACCGATCCCGATATTTCGCGAAAAAACCGAGAATACCGAACCGATAAAGTACCACAAAGTAACCGAACCGAACAGTCAGTCCGGTATTTGGGAACGGTACGAGGTTACTTCCCATGCCGAAATTTCCGAACCGAACATATATACTAATATATTATAAAAATAATAATCTTTTTTATATTTCTTCATTAAATAAAAAATTTATATAGACACTTTAGTTTAATTTCATTATGTGTAAGTTGCACTTTAATAAGAGTTTTTTAATTTTTGTAGATGAGTATAAGAATATTAACAAACATTTGAAATAATACTTTGTTATCACTCGTTCTCTTTAGTTTGTGAAATATAAACTAACTTTCATAAGCATTTCTTGCGTTTTACTTTTTCATTTTTAAATTTTTTTATCTTTCTTTGGTTAAATGTACTTTCAGTTTTCAAAAATAAAAGGTTTTGTTACATTTTATGTTAGATATCCGGGAGCATCAACAGAGACTTTCCTTAGCCCACAAAAGGAAAGACGGATCAGGGGAATAAATCCAAAGTCTGGTGACGTTATTAGGGTTGAATCCACTCCTTCGCCCTTCCCTAAAGCCCAAACCAACACCAGGGCTGTCATACACCCCACCTAGGCCGAACCAACACCCCCCCCCCCCCATTCCTTCCCTAAACATCCAAAGTTCCTTGTCATTTAATTCCTTTCAAAATAATGTTTTCCTACACTTATTTTTAGCCTATGGCAGAAAATAAGAGTGTGTAAACCAAAACCTTTTGTTTGTTGTTATTTCCCTTTTTCCTTTCTTTCTTTGGTCAAACTTAGGGCATCCCATGAACCCCATATCACCCCTAATACACCTTCTTTGCATAAACCACAACCAAACAAAACACTTCAATTCCCTCATTTGAGAGTCAAGGATACCAGGCCAAAACCACTCCCTTATTTCACACAATAAACCCACCATTACCAGCCAAAACCCCTCTCTTATTCCATGTAAGAGACCTGCCCCTGTCCCCCCTTTTGTTCCCCAACAAAGCTGCACAGCCTGGCCCACCACTAACTCAATCAACTCT